GCCATTATCATGGCCTGGCTTCTTGCAAGCGCAGTATCCGCTGAGACACGAAGTCCATGGGGCGCCACAGCGCAAATCATAATGTCGAGCCCTAGTGTCCCGAAGCAGCTCGGAAGATTAGGCGGGACCAGCATCACTACAGGCTTGCAACGCGCGGCATCATGGACGCGCAGCCTCTTTGAAAGCCTGGAACCAACCTGGCGGCATTTGCTGTACTGCAAGGCAGAGGAGCACGAACCCGAACGCCAGAGCGCGATGCTCAGAAGCACAGGACGAACGCGACATGAACGAACGGACATCACGAGCCACGTGAGTGACCGCAAAACGTGGCGAACAACAGTCAATGAAGCTGCCCGCCGGGCTACATAAATGGCGTGTCGAAGGCCAATGAGCTGCTTTATGAGCCGCTGACACCATGGCAGAAACTCATTTTCATCGGAATTGCTGGAAATGGAAGAGCTGCAAGTTGACGCTGGGCCACGCGATCAGGGCTGCACAGTCGTCTGAGCAGGTGTTCTAGCACACCATGGCCCACTGCGTAGCTCGCGCTAAAGATCTTCGTAAGATGGGGCACGCATCCTGAAATTGAGCCGCGTCAAGTAGGCGAGGCGAGATCTGCGGCCATACTGAAGGAGACCACCGCCTCGAGCTTAACCTGCGCAGCAGCGAGGACCTTGTCGCACGAGTGTCGCTGGGCCACTCTACGGGATGCTGAGGCAGGCCCAAACTTAGCGCAGCGCTTGAGATGGTCTTGCTTGCCAATGGCCGATGGCTAGGCCCAACGCAGTATTGGGAAAAAACCTGCCACGGCTACGGGGTTGTCGTTGCCCACGAAGTCGAGGCTGTCACCCATCGCCCTCTGCAGCTCGCCGTGGTCGAGAGTAGCAATGCTGCTGGGAACGCCCAGTCCAAAGGTGGCTGCTTGTTCTTAATCCGGCGTTTGCCCTTGCGTCATGTAGCACGCAGAAAGCAGGCATACATGCGGAAGTCAATCGAGCTTGCAGGCAAGGTACTCAAGCAAGCCACAATGGCCAAAAGGCCGTGGCTGATGAAGGTACGGATGGCTCCAACTGTTCTTGCCCAGTCTGGCAGAGCGCCAACATGATGCGAACGAAACCGCCCCTCGCTGCTTGAGCACGCACCTGAGAGGGACAGAATCTCTTGCACAGTTGGAGTTGGGAGGATGAGGAGCGCCGAAATGAAGCGCACAATAGCTACCACGAATGCCACCAGGAGCTGGCACACTTCTTTGGTTTGACAGGTGTGGAGACACATCCGAAGTATACGAAACCTTTATTTGAAGAACTGCAAACAAGAGAGACCTATCACCGAACTCACCTTTCAGATGCGTCTTTCGCGAAATCCGCCGGACGGTCGAGATCAGGAACAAGGACATGTTGGGACCCAATATTCCTGACCCGGGCGCCCACCAAGCAGACCTTAACAGCCTGGAGCCTACTCAAACCGAAACGGTCGCCGTGTCGGAGGCCTTGAGCCAAGGGGCGACGTGAGAATTCAGCAGCTGTTCTTCAAACACTTAAAAGCTGTTCCAGCCTTTACAGTAAGACGGAAGACTCGCAGAGTGGCATCGGGAGCATCTTAGAATCGGGATGCTACTCAGGATCTACAGGCAAGCGTGGGGCACGAGTCGGGGCAAGGCCTTGTTGCAGGTATCTTCACAAACACAGTACCAAGATGTAAGCTTCAAGGGCGACGAGCCAAAACCGGACTGTGGGCCTGTCATTGGGGTAGTTGACGCTCATCATGGATGTGTTTGGGAACAATCGCTGTTATGCAGTTGTTGCGGATTCTACCGTGAGCAAGCTTCGGAAATCGCTGTTCTCGCAATCTTATTGCTACCTGAAGTTTTGCAGTGGAGAACACGCTCAAGCGCCAACCAAAAAGAACCAGTAGAACCTCGACGTGAACCATGCGGACGCCAACCAAAAACTAGACCCCGATTGTTCCGAATGCAAGGACGCGCATCTGGCCGTGTTCTAGGCGCTGCGGTCATGGTGCGGTGTAGGTGCTGCGGTGTATGTGGGCGGTGTAGGCGCTGTGCTGTAGGTGGTGCGGTCTAGGTCTAGGTGCTGTGCTGTACGTGGGCGGTGTAGGCGCCGTGGTGTGCTGGCGCAGTGTAGCTGCCGTGGTGTATGTGGGTGGTGTAGGTGTCCTGGCGTCGTAGGCTCCGTGCTGTATGTGGGCGGTATAGGCGACGTGGCGCACTGGTGCAGTGTAGTTGCTGTGGTGAGCGGTGTAGGTGTTGTGGTGGGCGGTGTAGGTGCCGCGGTGTACTGGTGCGGTGTAGTTGCTGTGGTGTGCGTGGGGTGTAGGTGCCGTGCTGTGTGTGGGCAGTGTAGGCGCTGTGGTGCACTGGTGAGATGTAGGTGCTGTGGTGTATGCACCACCACGAAAGGTCGTCGATGACGACAAGAATTCTGAGGACGCTCCACGCGCCAGCGCCGCCACCTGCCCAAAACAGTGAGACGGTCGTCGATTCCGAAAAGAATTCTAAAGACCTTCCACGCGACCACGCTCGCAAGACGGCCGTCGACAACGAGAAGAATTCGCAGAATGCTCCACGCGGCAGCGCTGCCACGTGCGAAAAACAACGAGAGGGTCGTCGATTCCAAACCGAATTTGCAAGACGCTGGGCACCCGCCGAAAACAGCGAGAGGGTTCGCAATCCGGGTTAAGAATTCGTGCGGCGCCACAACGAGAGCGTCTCAACACGCACCAAACCCGCAGAAGGTTCGCCGGCGAGCTTTAGAATTCGCACGGCACCACAGCGAGAGCGATTCAACACGCACGGAACCCGCCGAGGGTTCGCCGGCGACGTTGAGAATTCGCACGGCGCCACAACAAGAGCGATTCGACACGCACGAAACCCACAGAGGATTCGCAAACGACTTTGCAAACTCGGACGGCGCCACAACCAGAGCGCTCCGACACGCACGAAACCCGCAGAGGGTCTGCCCCGCCTATGCCCGCCAAACCTACACCGGCTTGAAATAAGATAAAATAGAAGAGGAGGTGACGTGGCGTAGCGTAGGCGAACGGTGTAAATGCTGTGGCGTGGTGTGGGTGACCGATGTAGGTGCTTGGTGCGGCGTTAATGAGCGGTGTAGATATAGACTGTCGCGTGGTGTGTGCCAGCGGTGTAAATTTTAGAGAGTGGTGTAGGCAATCGATGTGAGTGCTGTGATGTGGTGTATGCGAGCTGTGTCGGTGCTGTGGTGTGTGTGCAAGTCTACCGTTTTTGATGAGGAACCCTTTGCGGTGCTTTCGGGAAAAAAGGGACAAGTTGTGCAAAGGCTTCCTGAGGCGCACCGGCGGGAGGATGAGTGAAAATCTTGTAGGTGTATGGAACAACTGTTGGTGTCTGAAGATGTGGGTCGGTGTTTGGGCAGGTACTCTTTGCAGTGGACCATAGTTGACCCATAGTTGACCCGCACAGTGGCATTGCGGCCCACAGACGTGCAGCTAAATCCCAATGCAAAGCTGTTGTGGGGTTCATCCCATGATCTGTAGACCAGAGCAGGATCGCAGCAGCATGCATGTTTTTGGGCATGCAGCGGCCTTGTGGAACCATTGCGTCGAAGCACGCAATGCTTGCAAGGAGGAGTGTTGCTCATCTTGTGGATTTGCAAGCCCCTGCGGCAAGGATCACACGTCCGTTGTGAATTTCACATGGGGCTTGGGAACGGGGATGTTTCCGTCGGTGAGCCTGCAGTGCGAATCATCCCTCTAGATGCTCCCAAAATACGACCCCCTGGATGATGTTCCGCATTCGGTACGACAGGTTCTTGGGTCCCCTACTCCATCCCATTACTCCGTTGTAAACTCGAACCCTAGCAGTCCCGAAAGTCCATCTCATAACCTCCAACACGTGCAACTTTGTCAGTTTCAATTGTCGCGGTAGGGTTTGTAAATGGCTGAGCGCCAGGAGGCTCCCTCATGCCAAAATTGCTCGAACAAATTCTTCAATCATACCAGTACTTGATTTTCTGAAGACGGTGAACGGTGACAACACATGCAGGTGTCACTTGCAGATCGAAAAACATGTCTTCCTTCAGGGCGAAAATCTAAAAATGTAGCCGTTTCCAACATGGGACTGATAAATGTGTGTCGCTTTCCAGGTTCCTAGCTTCTGGCAAGAAGTCCGACCAGTCCTGCGGTGTGTGCGGTGTTTCCATTCGCTCCGTTGCCACCTTCACTGCTTTCGACTGCTTCGATGCTTTCCACGGGCTTCACAAGCTCTTTGGCGAAGCTCTTGCGCTGCTCCAAGGCTTGGCCCAGCCTCATGAGGGAACGAGCTCTGGGCTGTGGTGGAGGTTTCGGATGCTGACAGGTGCTTGCCTGGAGAGTCGTTCCTCAAAGCTCTTTACCTTTGCTCGGCATGGTGCCAGACCAGCCTGGCAGCACACGTCTACCCGGCAATATTTCCACCAAACTGAGCCAAGCCTGCAGAGTGCGTTTAAACTCCTTCCAAGCAGGGACCAAATCACAAACAGAGAGGCAGAATTACAACGTGTGATTTCTGTTCAGTCCTCGGAACAGCTACTTTCAAGGCCACCTGGATGAAGATGCTCCTTGAGAGCAGCTAGCTTGCCCTGGCGTCGTGCTGCGTTCTGCATTTTGTTCTGCCTTCTTTCTCTGCCTCTCTTTTGCACTGACATGGAACTTGCCCGCCTTTGCTGTCTCAAGCAGCGTCTCTGCCTTTTCTGAGCTGGACGACGTGCTGTCCTCAGCTCTCGCACAAACGCAGGTACTGGATTCTGGACGAACGAGTCGAGAATCATCAAAATCAAAGCCATAAGTGGGCAGTATTCTGTATTCCCCTGGCATGTTTTGGCATCGGCATACGAGCCATGCAGTAGTGAAACTGGATCACAGGATCCGCAACACCCTCCTTGGGAGCATGTCGCAAAGCTGCTTTGTTGCTGCGGATGGCTCTTTGGCTGGCCAACTCCTAAAAAGCTAATACCAGCTCAGGACAGTCAGCGCTGCGTGATCCGCAGGCGAGATTTTCGATGAAGATGATCTCAAAAGAGAGTGTGGCAGCAGGACTGGATGGAAGCAAAGCAACTGCATGCGCCTGCTAGTGCAATGGTCTTGCACTGACGCTCGCCAATCACGTTCTCGCTGACACGGCCAGGAATGTAGCCCTGCGCTCATGCTGACTCAAAGCTACTGCGGCGGCTCAGGCAGATACATCTTGGCGATGGCCTTGTAGCCATGGATCGGTGCCACCCCATGATGGAGTGCCAACGACAAATCCGGCACTTTCATTCTGAAGGCCTCACAGGAAATCAGGGCTGGCAAGCAACGGATCTGGCGAGCTTTGTGCAACGGAAACAAGCCGGTTCTTGTTTTAAAACAAGCCGAGACTTGTTTTAAAACAAGCCGAGACTTGTTGTAAAACAAGGTGTTCTTCTTAGAGCTGCAGGGCCGACAAATGGACTGACTGTCAGTAAGATGTTCTCGACACGCACTTGATGGGTTTTTTCTCCCAACATGTTGTGACAAGTGGTCAGCTTCTCCACTCTGCCGGTATTCCAGCGCATGCAAGAACAAACAGTCAAAGATTGAACCTTGGAATGCATTGGACTATGTTCTTCCAAACAAGGCACACCATCGCATTGATTCCGCCTGCAGTCCATTCACTGTGCTGCTAGCAATTGGAGCCTCGTGTCGGCCAAAAGGTGCATCAGAGCCAGCTGGCAGGACATCCTTGCCAGTTACTTTGCAGCCAGACCTGGCCGCAATGTGCAAAGCAGAGACACCCACACATCACGCTACATGTATGTATGCACATGCTCAATGCCCAAGGCCGCAGCCATCCTTTTGCATGATCCTGGTGGGAGGGATTCCGTGTCGGCATCTGGCGCGGCTGTCTAGAAGCTCTGAAGCCCTGAGGCTAGCTTACGAATGGAGCATCAGGAAGTAGAGGAGGCGCGCACGCAACCAAATTAATCTCAGGCTTTCATTGTAGCACCTGTCCCCGTGACACCCATGCGACAGGAATCTATAGGGCTTGAGATACTGTTGGATCAGCTCGCTGAAAGCATTGGAAGCAGCCAGTCACCTCTCTGCAACAGCATGGTATGTCCTGAAAGCCCTCGAATGATCTAGAGTAGGGGCCTGGGGGATACCCCGGAAGAAGCAGTTAATCTGGCGCTTCGCCCCTTGCTCTCAAACAGTCAGAGGGTAAAGACACAGTTGCCAGCGAGGGCTTTTTACGACGAACACGTGAGGCATCTGGAGCAGAGATGTCCCATGTCCATTGTGACCATCGAGCTCAAACCGAGGTCATCCCCGCGAAGGTGTAAATGCATGCTGAGGCCCAAATCCACTCGGCCAGTGCGTGTTGAAGAGCAATACCAATAACGTGCACAACTTTGTGCAAGTACAAAGCGCAGCAGCAAACTGCACAAGCCAGTATCTGAAAATTATCTGAATCGAACAACTCATCACAGAAAGTAATCTCTATGCTCAATATTAGCAACCAGCCCGGCCAACTAACCATGCAAAGGCTCGCCAAGCGCGCAGTTTTCTCACAAGCCTTACAACCGGGTACTGACAATGATTCCAATCCAAGCCTGAACCCGAGACAAGTCTGCTCTCCCCTCTGACAACACCCCTGCCTCTGCCATCGTGTCTGATGGTATAGGTGCCAAGGTCGTCCTCCCCTGAAGCCGCGACACAGAGCATCAAGCTACCGTATGCGTAGAGCAGATGTCAGTGCACCTGACCTCTGTCATCAACGTCCACTTTTTCGGAGCAGAGGCTCGTGCAGCAAAATGAGAGGCCAAAGATGTCTCCTGCTCCGCACGTAAGACTCCGATGCTATCTTCTGCGCAACACTTCAGCAACACTGAAAGCTCCTGAGTCTTGGACCACGTTTCTGCAAAAGCATTCTCTGCCACCTCCGCGAGAACCGCAACACTGATGTCATGGACACATTGGCAGGGGGAAGTCGAGGGAAGAGGGAATCAAGAAGGCTTGAGACACCTTACCAAGCACTCACTCAACATTCGAGAAGAGTTCAAATTGCAGCAAGAGTTCGATGTGATGCAGACTTTATCCGTACGGACGACTTAGGACCACTCACAACCGCCAGCATAGGATGACGGAGATGAGAATGCCATTCCCATTGCTATGATGCTTAGAATGACAACTCTTCACTGTACCTGGCCTTTCCTGGCAAGTAGCCCTGGTAACCTGGGATTGCGCGAGCGGCTGCTCCGTGTCCTCTGAGCTTCCTGGGACGAGTGCTGGACTATATCCTTCATGACACAGGGACCACGGGAAGCGTTTCTGGCCGTTAAGGTTTTGAGGCGTCGCACTGAAATTACCTTTGCTTGGCCTTTTTTCACGTGACCTTGGCGGGCACCAGATATGCAGGAACAAGTAGAATGAGCAGGACAGCTGACAGCAGGCGCGCTCTGCATAGATATGCATCTTACATAACCAGTCAGAAGCTCCCAGCACCACCGAGGCCATCGTATGCAAGCGACCTGGCCGACGTTTCGAAGGGACGGTGTTCCGCAGTGCTTTGTGAGGGTTTCTTTGGCAACCTGTTTGGCAGCATGTGCTCAAAAGTGAGCTAGCACAGACACCCAATAACATATGGCTGGTTTCAGAAGCGGAGTTGTTTTTGGGCCCAGTTGATTTTGGCTTCTCCCGCAAACAAGCCGAGAAGTCGTCAATCCCATTCCGGAATGGTAGTGGAACTTCTCCTGCATCGCACAGTTCTGAGCGCTGTTGGGCTGAACCTTACCACCCAAAGGAGAAATGCTTGAGTCCTCGTTGGAATCTGGAATCCGCGAGTGTAGCGTGTCGCCAGCCGGTGGATAACTGATGCCTCTTTTATCATACCTGTCAATGAATGCACAGTGCCTCTATGAGCTCCATGCATCCGGTGCAGGCGGGCGCACTCTGGAGCTTTTGTCGGAGGAACGATGGCCCTGAACAACCAAAGGGTGGAATGTCAAATCACCACTCTGTCAGACAGCCGAGAACCTTGTCCTTCTGTCTTGCTCTTCACGCTGCAGACGCATTGCCTGCAATGTCATAGAACTTGAGCTGACGCCCAGGTCTGCGGGAACACTGGGTTGGCCTGAACATCGCAAGTCTTCTGGCTGCGCACGCCTTGCGCAATCCTTAGGGAACCTGAGGAATTCCACTTTGATGCATCGTGCTCACCTTATGCTTCAACCCGAGGATGCCACGTCCAAAAGTGGATGCAATGGTCTCGCCCTGACGCGCATGTATTGCCCAAGACTGAGCGCAGCAGAGTGTTTTCTTTTTGCCACACATGCCTCCAAACGTGCACTGGGAACATGGCCAGAATATCCTGGCCTCACGACCACCGCAAAGCAGCCATGAAAGCTCAGAAGCAATGTTGGTTCCGCGGTCAAAGATTAGGGCCGAGAATGAGGGAGGGCCTTGTCCCCGACCAGCTTGTAAGCAGCAACTCCCCGACAAGAAGGGCCGCGCCGTCCGACGAAAAAAACCAAGCCCACCCCCGACTAGAACCGAAACCTGATAGCATCCTGCAACCTCCTCGCCTTTCCCCCCAGCCATCTGCGGCCGATAATGACGTTCTCTGCTTTGCTCAGACCTGTCCTCCAGCCCCGAAATGGGCTCGAACCCCGCTGCGGGCATTTTTGGAACGTCGTGTCCAGCTCCAGCCCCTGAATGGGCCCAGAGCCAAGAATATCATTTTAGGCTGCAACTTTTCAATCGGGCCCCAAAACGATGTTGCTTGAACGTTTCAGACTACTGGAGGCCCGTTTGGGGGGCTGGAGCTGAACACGACGCCTCAAAAATGACCCCCTACTAATACATAATACCTGCTACCATACACGACCTATTACTATCTACTACCCTTTACTATTTACTGCCAAATTTTTCTACTACCACAAACTACCTATCTCCTGATCCTTAAACTACCTACTCTGCTACCTGCTACCTACCCCAGTGATTCTTGTCAGGGTAAGTTTTATTGCAGTTTGGTTCCTCCCTTGTGTCCTGACAGCTGCCTTCGTCAATCCTACACAACAAACAGCAACTGCATTTTCGTTGATCATCGTGTACGCTCGTTTGCTTTCGTGACTCTTCTTCTCACACAACTAGGATGCTGATGACACGTTACTAAGCACGTCCCTGTATCAAAGTGTTCCGGTCCGACCTCACACAGAAGACCACAATTGCATCTTCCACTCTCCATTTTCGTGCCCTAGATGCAGACTGCAACCTTTACATCCTGACCCCAGCGATCTACCTCGGTAGACAGCAGGCGATACTTCATGTATTTTGTGGGTCACCATAGGTTTGAGAAACTCAACTAAGCGCCCCACAGGGCATTTCCAATGTGACTTCCAATATTGCTCCTGCAGTTCCAGGGCTGGAGAAGCAGGACTTGTTGCTGCCTGAGCCGCGGCACTTATGCGATCAACAGCAGTCCTGCGGGTGTTCAGGAGCTTCGTGTCACTCCATGCGCGCAGCATCACAGCTTTGAGTGGCGTTTCGCTTGACATGGCTTCCTAGATCATCGCTGCAGGGGTGCATGCCTCAGCACTAATAATGGCTCCAGTGTGTCCTTGGGCTCTTGTAATTTCGTATAACATACACAAACCTACCAGCTTGCTCAGCCGAAAAGATGTGCACGTGGCCGGCAACAATTTCTCCACGGCAAGGGGAATACTGAAAGAATGCAGCTGCTTGTCTGGAACTGTGGCTGCGGCATCCGAAAGATCCTGCAAGAAACCAGATGCAGGCATGCATTCTCCGTTTGGAAAATGGTGGCAAAACCATCCTTCGCCGCAACTTCCACTTCTTCCACGACTTTGGTGTACTCCTGATCGTACCAAATTCGCTGATGAAGTTGTCCATCAGTTGCCAACTCATCACCATGCCCCGCCTCCACGTAGGAGGATGCTGCCTTAAGCTTCACCTGCGAGCGGATACCAATACCGAAAGCATTACAGCCAGCGCTTGAAGGGCGAGCGAATTGCTTTGCTCATACAGACACAACATCACGGTCGTTTTGCAAGGACTGTCATGCATTGCATGCATTGCGGTCGTGACGAGTCGAGGGCTGCCGGGAACAGCGCATGCGGATCCTGTTGACACGCGAGCCACTCTGCATCGACAGCTAGCCCAAAAGGTGCACAGCAAAAGACACAAGCACATGGCAGTTCAACCATCTATTCTGATTTTGGATGCGGCTGCTGCTGCATCTCCAATTGGCTGAAAAAGCATTTACAGAGCGTGCTAACATAGCGACAAGGACCACAGATTTCTGGCCCATGGCGTCCGCACGCGAAAAGCATCTAAAGCTGGATCACTGCCACAGCTGCTTCTTTTTGCCTGCATTGAACCCAATGTCAACACCCTTCTGCACAGCATTGTGGGGCTCTGCACACCTCATTGCCACATGTTGCCACATTTTGGAACTAAATGCTTAAGACACGGACTTCGTGGCTCACTTGTTGAGCTTCAGTTCTCGGCAGTGGTGCTAGAACAGCTGATCACACGTGGCTTCATCAAGAGTCAAGTAAGCTTAGGAGCCAACGGGTCATTGACACTTCACCTGCTAAAGCACCGGCCCGAAGCTCCTCCATGACGGATTCCTGCATAAAATTGCTCAGTCCAATGTGCGCAACTAGCGTGTGGACCATGAGTGTGAGGAACCTTCTGGGCTGTTTGCTCAACAGATTGGAAGGGCCACCACCACCACCACCAGCTGAGCTCCACCTCTCCGTTCACCTGAATATCCACCACAGTAGAAATCACATGACTGTTGAAGGCAGTGCCCACATCTTGCCTTCCGAGAGGAGCTTGACCTGGCCAATTCCCCCGAATCACAATGGCACTGCATGCAGTCCTGGCTGCTCCAAGGTCCCCACCGCTCCAATAGGGATGCATCTTTCAATGGTGGGACTGGTGCGAAAGTTGGATCTTCGTTCTTCTCTTTTCTGAATGGAGCCGGCGCAAACACGGACTCGTCTAATCCCTTGATTTGCGCCAAAGTCGCAGGAGTGTGCTGTGGAGCTTTGCCAAACAAAGCTTCCCAGATTTGACCTTGATGCAATCATGACTCATGCACGTTCGCAAGCAAAGAAATGACATGTCTGCTATGCAATGCGCAAACTGCTGATCATCATCTCCAAACATCATGCTAGCCCCATGGCACCAAAGCATTGACGATTTGATACTAGAAACGCAAAGGTCGTTCGAATTTTTCGAATCATCTGGGACTTTCTGAATCCAGGTTGCCTGCAAATTCACTTGACCTGCCCTACAGCGGCAAACGACAAATGCGAACATGTCGAAGATGTGAAGCAGCCTGGAGGATTTCGTGTCGGGCAGGAACTGAACAAGCGCTCGTTGTTTTTGGTGGATTTTGGGCTGGCTGGTTGCCTTGCGGGCCAAAACAGCCTTCTATTCTCGCAGACACCCATGCCACGGCCCTTGCGTTTCCGCAACCCACTCACTCCCCATTTTTTTCTGTTGCGGAATGGCTGAGACTTTGCCACCCACCTTGAATCAAGTCTCTTTATAAAGTACAGGCGGAGGGGCGAATGCTGAATAAGGCGGAACTGCGAACATCGCTCTGGTTTTCGCCCGGCAGGCATCCCTGCCATCCTAATTTCTGCTCCTTGAAGACCTTGTGTGATCTTGCTCGCTGCGCATGACGACTTCTAGTTTGCCAATTTTGAAAAGTGCCTACGCACTTTGCTTGAGAACCGCTCAATCGCGTCTGCTCCTCAGGCCACAAGCCGTGCAAACAAAGTTATGGCGAGCGTTTGGTGGAGTAAACCCCTGGCAAGACGTGACGTGGCACCAGCAAAAAAAAGCCAACCTGTTTCGCTGAAGGCAAAAATGGGTACTGAAGGCTGCAGAAGCGAGGTTGTGCGTTGGTAGGGATGGGAACTGGGAACACTAACAGAACTAGAGATGCAGCACAGCAGACGTAGCAAGCCTAGCATGACTCTTCTTGCCAGGGCACTGGGTGACAACCACCACGGCCACCAGGAAAGCCAGCCGGCTGCAGCTGGGCGAGCTGTCATGGGAGCAACAGACGGCGCAGCTGCAGGCGCGGCTGCAGGTGCAGCAGCTGGAGCTGCAGCTGGTGCTGAGGAACCCAATGGGGCCACAATTGGAGGCGAGAGCTCCGGGGCGTCCCTTTTTGAGGCGTCCTTTGGGGCGCCCTTTGGGCCCTCCTTCTTTTTGTCCTTGGCCTCTCGCTCCGATGAGGCATCCTTTGAGGCATCCTTTGGGCCCTCCTTCTTTTTGGGCTTGGCCTCTCGCTCCGATGAGGCATCCTTTGAGGCATCCTTTGGGCCCTCCTTCTTTGTGGGCTTGGCCTCTCGCTCAGAGTTGTTCCCTCCGAGCGCTCCCTGCCAAGTCGCAAGCTTGCTCTTCTCAGAAAACATGTTGATTGCACAACTGCCTCAACGACTTGCTCCTCAGTAAGTTCCTGAGTAAAGACACAAGGTGCCGACAAATGCAAGGTCAAAATGCCAGCGCCTTTGGTTGCAAGCGATCTTGCACCAAAGCCTTTCCAACAAGAGAGCCGCTCAAGGAAAGGAAGAGCATGCTTACTGCTGGCCTGTACTTGTGTTGGCTGCGTCTTTGCCGCGAGCCCTGTTGACAGAAAGCACCTGCAGCAGATATTTGCGAAGGCGATAAGAGGAGGAAGCCAGGTGCTGCGACACTCTGAGACACTCGCAGGACTGCGAAACAGAGCTTCATTGGGCCTCACTCATGAACACGTGCATTTAGAGGCCACAGTCAGTCTTCCTCATCCGCAAGTTTTTTCCTCTCAACGCATGTCCGCGAAGCATTGCCAATGCCCTGCCCAAGCAGCATGTGCGCAAGAGGCACTGTCCAGCTACGCCAGTCGGTCTGCACTCTCTCTTCCATCATCACATATAACCCAAGGGTTGAAGCAACTGAACCTTGCAAACCCGGCAATGCACTTACTTCCTGGATCGCATGATCATGCTGTTCGACAGTTGGTTAGGCGTAGCAGCACAGCCCACCATATGGAAGCTGTAATAGCCAAGACAAAAGCTTGGCTCTGTACAGGACAACAGCCATGTTCATGCAGCATTTCTGGTGCCAGCATGCTTGTTAAAGCAGCATGGCCAAGTATGTGCAGATTCGACAAACACCTCGACTTTCAGACCTACATCATCCTACATCCCACTAAGGGAGAGGAAGTTTAACATGCGGCGCGTCAGTTGAAATCAGTTGAATCTTCTGCCAGTCAAAACCTGGCTCAGGGTTTGGCTTCCAAAGCAGCGCTCTGCTTGACTCATGGCACACTCAAATGCAGAGCAGGAGCTTTTGGAGCTACTAAGGACCAGCCATACAAGCCCAAGGACAAGAAGACTGCGGTCACCTGATGTCATTGCGGATAATTGCACAGGACTCTCTCACAGTGAGCAAGGTCAGGGAAGAGCACACTTCTGCGAACAGCTACTATGCTGCACAGGCACCCGCAATGCATATGTTGTCGGGCTTGTCCTAGTGCAGCTGCAGCTACAAGATTGCCAAGTTACGTTCTTGCGCAGTGACCAAGATTCAGAAATACGGACAGGCAGCGCTGACACTCGCTAAGGGAATGCAGCACAAAGTCCTTGGTGCAAGAGAGGATGCAACGTACAGTGCAGCAGCTGCATGAACTGCACAGTCGCCACCGAAGATGCGAGCCTGACAGGAGCAACCTATTCGGATCCTTCATGCTTTGCAATACCCATGCTAAACTGATTCGGATAAGAATGCCTCTGATGCAGTCATGGTTGCCCCAGCCGTGCTTTCGGCCTATAGCAAGCGGGCCCAAAACGAAATGCGCCACGCAAGAAGTCCATCTTGCCTCTGCTGATGCAGCCTGTCCGGACGTCAAGACGAAATTACGACATGATGGTCCAGTATTTGGGAGCGCTCACCTCGCCAGCCTCCGCTTCGATCAAGCTGCGTGGGCGGCCTTCGACCTGGAAACCAGCTGCCTTGAGGCCGATCGTCCTGAACATCTGAGGCTCAAACCTGAGCAGCGCCACTCTCCTGACGGTAGGAAATGACCAAGTGCCAACCTTTTGAGTCTTATGACGTCCAACTAACCCTGACAAAGACGCAGATCTCCTCGGCACTCGATCCCCAGCCACCAACGCCGGCTGTGGTTGAAAGCAAGGAAAAAGCACAAAGGAGCAGGCCAGCCTCGGACAACTTTGCTCAGGCAAGGTTCATGCTCACGAACAAAAACCCGGACACAAAAGTAAGAAATTGTATGTGAAAAATGTGTTTAGTAGCGAAGGCATAATTTCCAGACTGAGCCCATTGCCCACGACGGAAGCTGCAGTGGAGAGCCAGCTGGCCTTAAGTCAACGAGTCACCACCATGCTTGCAGGCACGCGAACGGTACCATCGTCCAGAGTCATACTTGATATGACCAGAGATGAATCTCCATTTGCAAACCAATGGGCCGAACTGCAAGCGACTCGCAGAGCAGCCACACGGTGTACCTGCAGGATGAATGCTGTGAAGTTCAAAAGCATTCTACCATTTTATCTGAAAGCCCTCACGCCATGACGACGGCAGAGGTGAGCAGAGCACCTGCAGCAGGAATTTTGACACTGGAAGCAGAACATGCCTGCAAAGCTGAGGCCAAAGCCATGCTCACACCAATCCGTGATGCTGACGATAGCTAGTGCAACCGACCTGGATGTTGATTTATCATCTGCGGGCTATCTTCAGGCACATGACGCACGCTCAGTTGATCTTCAAATGCCATGACAACAGGACACCGACAGGATCATGGCGGATGCGTTCACGGCTCTGCTGCTGGCATCCTGGCTCCAATGTTGTCCAGAGGCAAATCTGCACAACCCTACAACCTCACAGTCGCCAATCCTGTGACCTGAGCATACCTGAGCCGTTGGCTTGCTTAGGAGGGAGGTCGTGCTGGTCTACCCATGTTTGTTGCAGAGACCGGCAGCACTCGCGGCTACAAAGTATCCGAAACAAACGGAAAAGTGGGCAACCTTGATTCATCGCGCTGGCAAACGATCGTTTAGAACCTGTCCTTGCACCATCTAGCACGGGTCACCAACAACTCCACATAACAGCCTCAACAGCGATACCATTATGTTTAAATCATGAGTCTGTCTTCAACTCTATGACCCTCGTGGCAAATGGATCATGACCATAAGCATGCTCCCGTCCTTGAACACGCAGAAGAGGTATATTGAAATGATGATGGCACCTAGCGAGTATCTGGCACGTAAACTGGTTGGTGCAGAGAGTTGCGGAGTCGTGGCAAACAATCAACTGCAATTGTACCACAAGCCGTCAAGCGGCCAAGAACCAGGGCCGCGGACCTTGGCAGCAGCTCCACACACGCAAGCAATGGGCACACTGATGAGACGCTGCATTCTCACTGCAGACTAGCATCGAGAGCAACATGGCCCCCACCCACAGCCTGCCCAGACTTCAGCATAGCTGATGTTCCCAAACGAAGCATGACATCCCACCTGTAGCCTTTGGCGCCAATTTCTCGTCTTCTTGCCTGTTGTGGCAATGACTGACAGCACAATCCAGAACACGACGCATTCAGAACACCACTTCAGGGCCTCGAGGGCATGAGCATACCAGTTTTCCTCAGTGGTCCACCAGCGCCCTGCTGTAGCTTTGCCAGGTTTAGGTCGACTTAGGACTGCGCATTCCAGGTGTAGCCGAAATCAATCAACAATATTGACTGCCAGGCAGGAGTGGCTAGCAAAGTGGATACTGTAAATGGATATGGCCAGCACTTTTGATTGGTATGGTGGCCTGTGCCACCAGGAAGATAGCAGACAATGCCGTGGCAGCGCTTCCGAATCCGACCCAAACCTGAAACTGACTGCAATAGGCCACTAGGCCCTTGAAATGCAGAAACCCGATAAGCAGGTCACTTCATTCGGCAAGAAGAGCGTGATGAAAACGATGCAAGCCTTGAAACACTACCCGTTCTTCTGGGCAAGCTTAATCTAACACTCTCAGCGCAAAAAGAAAGGAATGTGGGGTCTGGAGACCGCACCACTGCCATGAACTTCGCCACGGAGTATGCCCTCCAACGGTGACAATGCAATCTCAACAGGAACAGCATCAGAAAACATCAGGAAGCAACGGCAACACCAATGGTAATGGCAACATGTGGGGTTGCAACAGCAACCAAAGCAGCAATGGAAGCCAAGCTAACAGCGGCGACCACAACAACAGCAGCAGCAATACCGGCAGCAGCAGCAGCAGCAGCAGCAATATCGGCAGCAACAGCAGCAAAAAAAGAAGCACACATCTGCAGCAGCAGCAACAAGAAGAACAAGGCATGTTGCGCAAATGCGGCTTGAAAGGGATGTTATTTTTTGCGATGTGATTGGACACACTGTTCTTTGCATGTCGATTTTCCAGTCCAAATCGCAGGCAGCTGTTGACTCTTGTTCATTTTTGTCGGCAATAATTTCGCTGTGGCTTTAACGCGATTTCAGACAACGATTTGACGGCTGCAATACAAGAGCTTTTGGCCATGTTCAAGCGCTCGACCGGCCGCCCGAGAAAGTTTCCACAGGTTTTTCACTCGTTTCCGCGATTGGTTTGTCTGGTTTTTGACAGCCATGTATGCGGACCACGCCAAAAAAACAAGGATAAATAGGCAAAAACAGGTAGGACCGCATCCCTAAAACCCTAAACCCCAAACCCTCTGTTTCTGGATCAGGCCTTAAACATGTGACTAAACACAATTTTCTTGCACGGCGACATCATTTGACATGAAATTCGCTCGCATTTTTTGACATTTCTTCTTTTCTGCAAGCAAATGTCAGCGCGATGTTGTATGTTCCGCAGTGGTTCTACCACAGGTGCACACGATTTCGCACGTGCGAAACAAAGTGCGTTTTATTGCAGCAATGCGTCGCGTAGTGACCGTCATTTTGAGAGTCCCCTTCATGTTTCCCTCATGGTACTTGTTTGCCGTCCAGCACCAGCCTGCAGTTAGCTCTAGATACAATCTACAATATACGTTCTAATCCCCCCCACCAACCCGCCCGCCCGCCCACCCGCCCGCCCGCCCGGCCACCCACCCCGCTACTGCCCCAACCATACCCCCACCCCCCCTCTTACGCAAAGATACCTCTGGTATCAAAAGTAGGAACCCTTTCGCGGCCGCATTCAGGCAAAGAACAGGAACAACCACAACGACGACGACGACCATAACCACCACGACAATCAGCAACGACGGTGACAATAGACAGTCCTCTACGTTCAGCCACAACAATCACCATCATCACAGTGCACAAGACACACAAGACAGAAGAAAACAAACTCGAAAACACAACGGCAGAAGCCGCAGCCCATTCGTGCACTGAACATAGATTTAGGGGTTACAATACAAAAAACCTCATAAAGCCCAGCATAGTCCGTATTGGCTCCTTAAACCCTGAAGGGGCTTGCCGGTGAGTCGGGCAAAAGATGCGTGAGACGAGAAAAAGAGGCGTACGTTGGTAAAAACAGAAGACCTGAGTCAAGCAAAAGGAAGGCGTGAGTCGGAAAAAGCGGCGTGAGTTGAGGAAAAGGAAGGAAACTAAAACTCGGAGAAAAAAACATACACACATCTCAAGGCTGGAAAAAAAAATGTTTACCATTTTCTGCACCTGGCTGCGCCCTCGTCGCTTCATTCCGGTCATCGCAAGGTGAAATCGGGGATGGTTTCGACACATGTCTATACCTGACTTTCCTTCTCTGAGCTGTCATTTGGCTTTGCTTATTGCAGGGTGAAAAATGGGGTTGTGTTAACGTCTGTCTGTATGCACTAGGCTTCCCACCTCATAGCTGTCTACTTATTGCAGGGCAAGAAAAGGGGGCTTCAATATATGTTTGTACCTGGCTGTCCTTCTGTCGCGTCATTCCACCTATTGCAAGGTGAAAGCGGGCATGCGTAAAACATGTTTCCACCTGGCTTCGTGCCTTTCGTGTCATTCCGCTTTGTACTTGGCTTTCCCTGTGTCAGTTCATTATCACGAAGGAAAGAAAAGGAAGGTGTTTTAACACATGTCTGTACCTGGTTTTCCCCCTGCGGCTCCTTTCCTCTTATTGCAAGGTGAGAGGATAATTGGCTTTCCCTCTGTCACTGCACTTCGCTTTCATCACCTCACTCCGCTCAATGCCAAACAGAAACAGGATGGTTTAAACCTTTGTCCGCACCCGGTGTTCCCCCTGTCACTACATTCCACTTCTCGCACGGTAAAAAAGGGCTGGCCTTCCCTCTGTCACTGCACTGTTTCTTTGCAAGCTGGAAAGTGGTTTTGACCCATTTCTGCTCCTGGCTTTGCCCGTCACCTGCTTCCACCTATAACTGCCTATATAACAAGGTAAAAGGGTGTGGTAAAAGCATACGTGTGTAGCTGGTTTTCCCCTTTCATGTCTTTCCTCTTCGCACAAGCTGAAGAAGGTCGTGACTTTAGATTCGCCTCGGCCTCTGGCCGACAGGCGTCTAGAACAAGCTGGCCCTGTTGCTTTTTCCCCTCCCCAGCCCGAGCCTCACCCCCCTAGCCCCGCCCCCACGCCCCAAGCCCAGCTCTTCTTACTTTGCGAGACTTACTTGCTTTGCGACGTCTTGGCCCCCTTGCCAGCCCTGCTGCCGAGGCGGACGTGTGCGAGCAGTTGCAGCTATGTCGCTTTGCCCGTGTCAAATCGCTTCACTTATTATCCGGATTTCCCGCGGCCACTCTGTCAATTCCTCGTTTTGCAAAGTGAAGGCGAAGGTGATTTTCATCCGCGTCTGCACCTGGCTTCGACCCTTGTTTATTTAGTTCCACTTTTCGCAACTTGAAGGGGGCCTTGCTTTTACGTAGGTCTGTACCTGGCTTTCCCCGTTGCAGCTGTCATCTCTTTCTGCTTAATTCTGCTTATTGCAAGGTGAAAGGGGCTGGTGTGAACATATGTCTGTACCTGGCTTCCCCTCTCTCAGATGTGAGTTCTTTCTATCGACAAATGAGAATGGCGTTGTTTTTAAACATCTGTCTGCACCTGGCTTTCCCTCTGCCACTTCCTTCAAATTATCGCAAGTTATCGCAAGGTTCAGAGGGGGTGGTGTGAACATATATGTGTGGCTCACAAAACTTGCTGCGGCTGGGAGTCTCTGTCCCACCATGTGACCTTGGATGCGTATACGCGCCCTTTTCGGAGGGCTTCAGAACTTAGAGGTACTTTTTTGTTGGGTGGCTCTCTTCATGGATCCGTAGCCATCAAGGGTTTAGGCACTAAGGTTTAGGTATTATAGGGTCTAGCGATTAGGTTTTAGAGGCTATAGGGTTTGGACGCTGAACCCTGAACCCGAATGTTTCAGGCCTAAGCCCTCAATCCTGATCAGTCACACTTCTTTTCAGCATAGGTGCTTCAGCTCCACTCGCCCACACCCACGGATTGTTGGCCTCAGATGCTTGTCCAGTCCAGTCTTTGGAGTTTAGGGCTTAGGGCCCCTTTAGGGGTTAGGGTCCCGTGTCAACAGCTCTTCAGGGTCCACCCCTGGTGATCATGAGTTTACGCATTAGGGGTTTAGGCCTTGGAGTTTAGGCATGATAAGGTCCAGAAATTAAGGGCTGCGGGCTTAGGGCTTATAAGTTTAGAGATTAGGGGTCTGGGAATCAGGGTTTAGGGCGTAGGCTATAGGGTGGGGGTTTAGGTAACAAGGGCTAGGGACTACCAGTTTGGGTATCAGGGGTCTAGGGATTCGGGGTTTGGGGAGTACAGGAGTTGAGTTTGGGCGATTCAGGGTCTGCCCTTAGGAGGGCTGCCGAGAACCCGCTTGAGAAGGCAAGGCAGCACAAAACAAAACCGGAAAGAAAAGCAACAGAGTACATCCAGCACTGGCTGTCGGCCCTGGCCTGGCCCAGGATGGTACTCGTGGCGCTTGTGGTGCTCCTGGTGGTCCTGGTGGTCGTGGTGGTGGTTGCGGCGGCGGTAGTGGAAGTGGTGGTGGTGCTGTTGTTGCTGCTGGTTGTTGTCCTTGGTGTCCTGGGTGTCATCTTGGGTCTGGGTGCTGCCACGGCTGTCGCAGCTCCTAATGGCAAGATGAGGGTCGTCTTTCGAGTTGCATGGCGACTTTGCATGGTTGTTAAGCCTGCTTTTGAATGTGATGCGCTTAGCAGTGGTTGCGTCAAGATTTTTGGGGTTTAGAGTTTATACGAACAACAGTATTTGCCGACTACTTGCACCAGGTGTGATGGAGCGTCCCAACATATACGGCATCATTATCTCAGAATGCTGTCGGGGAAGCCAAAGGAGCTCCGTGGACTGTTGAAGTAAGGAATCGTCTGAAGCCTGAAGCTTGCTCGGACGTACAAGATGGTGGGGCAGCCCTCAAAATGCATCAAGTAGCAAACCAAATTGTCGGCTCGAGGCGGTTGCGTCTGCGCGGGACCTGGCACGCCACACGGTCAACCCTTCAACAAGGAACATGTCAGTCGAGAGCTTGAAACCTGATGTCAAGGCAGGATTCCTGAAGGTTGGGGGCCTTCCACAACAATTACCCTGGATACAATGTCCGCAGCCTTGCACATGCCTGCTAAACCATCAGTTTTACCACGACCACCGCCTCCGTTCTGCGCCACCAATGAAAACACGCCGCCGCCAATCAAAACATACCCCGACAAACTAAAGCAGAAAAAGGGTCCTGCATGATAGGCACAGTCGCGTTCCCAAGCGACGCGTGCTAGGGATGTAGACACCAAAACTGGGCGGCAGGCGTTGAAAGGCGTCAGAGCGGTGCGCCGAGAAACACCTTCCATCCTTGACAGTCACCTGCACCATCCAAGTATCTGAAGGGAGCGTTCGGCAGTAGGGTTGATCTGATCGGTATCTTTCTCCAGATGGTCTAAACCCAGCATCAACTCACCATCCTTGTTGACAAATGACTAGTCCCTCGAGGACAGGACCGAACAAGCAGATGATGGCTACCGCGAGAAAGCTATGCAGGCAGCATCTTTCTGAACCTTTTCCGGGACCCCTAGCTGCATTTGTTTCTCTTTCTGCGGGACAAGCGCTCACAGCATGTATTCATCGATTGTTTGCCGTTTTTGTTCATGTGGATTTCTACTTGGAACGCAAGTTTCTCGCACTGAAAGTCCTTTCCAACAGAAGTAGCTGCCAGTTTGACTGTCAGGTCCCCCCTACGCCTCCTTCGAAAGACTGTCACACAACACATTGACTGTGGTCTTGCCTAAGTGCTAGTCAGGCATTGGCATTATCATGATCCCTATGTGCCTGGCAAGGATGTCCTCACTTAGAACAGGATGCACCTGGCGCATTTGCCTTAAAGGCTTCGATTTAACTGTCCCATTGGCTTTTTCTTTCTCAAGCCGCATTTTTTCTCGAAGATGAAGACGTCTGAGCTTCCACACCAGCGGGGCTTTCGGCCTGTCCAAGGTGCTGGCCTGAAACCCTCTCAGAGTCTTGGGGGTCTGAGCACTTCGGCTGGCTCAAACTCCAAGGCCTCGCCTCAGACCCCGTAGATCAAGTGAGGTCATGGTGTTGCAGCACATGACATTGACACCAGCATCACACACTCGCCCAGGGTCCTGCTTTCGTTTTTGTCTCGAAGCTTATCCTGACTCGCTGGCCATTTTCCTGACCTGTGGGCTTTTCCTCACTTGTGCCTTTGGTTTGCCTGACTCGTCGTGCTGCTATTTTCCTGACTTGTACCTTTCTTTTGCCTTTGACTCGTGCCTTGTTTTTTTTCTTGACTCGCATCTCTGCTCTTTCCTGGCTCGTGATTTTCTTTTTCCTGATTCGTGCCTTTTTTTCTGACTCGTGACGTTCCTCAAAAGGGTACTTTTGAGGGGATGGTATAAACTAAACTCTTTCCATACGGCAGAGGTTCAATAATTGTTCCTTTTCCCTGCAATATCCGGAGATGTGTCTTTTGGGTACCCTTTAGCGGTCTTTTCGCGTCTTTTCGCGAAAACCATAAAACCAACAATATCCTGAGTCATTACCAAAAACATACCCACGTTTCCTTTAGCGTCCTGCATTACGAGGGATAAGTTGGACCTCTGATAACCCTTTCGCGAACCCTTTCGCGTTCCCGTTTGAGTGCACCATTCTTTTAATGTTCAACATGAACTGCCGTGCTTGTAATTTGCTAGATAGGGCTTTTTGAACGACCCCCATGTCAAAGGAGGTAAAACCACTACAAACCGTGCAAACAAAGTGCAAGAAGGATTGTTTTGTGGAGTGGGATCCACTGCAGGCCCCCACGTTGTTGCCGGGCAAGGTTGATGATGCTTTTGGGCACTTGATCTTTGATTTAGCTTTTGGAGACATGCCAGCTGTGGTGCAAATGCTGAAAATCACACTTTAAGCAAGGTACTGCAAGCGTCTGCTGCGTTAATACCGCACGCTCTTCCAGTACAAGCCGAGGAAATGTGCACAAATAGCAAAGCCATTTCAAAAAGCAACGATCAGTCCCTTCTACATGCAAAGTCGCAGCTGGACATGCCCTGCACCTCCTGTTTCTTGAAGCAAACGTTTGCAAAGGAAATTCCGTTTGAAAGTCAAACATGGTCAAACCATGTCAAAACGCCAATGACTAACGGTGCCTGGAGCATACGCGTAATCGGAGCTGGGATGATTGTGAGCTACAGTACCTGTTGCACAGCCCCACACATTTCAAAACATGACGCAAGAACAGCGCTACACAGGTCAAGGTCTGAAACATGCTGGAACACACCCACACATGTTTACCGGCATGGAAGCAGAAAGCATCCGCTGGTATCGTGGATGTTCGGGTGATGCTGGTAGAGGCTAGTCACCCGGTCTAGTCATGCATGGTCTGCGAATGGGTGCAATAAAGATGCGATGAGCTGAGCTCCTCGCACAGAGGTTTTCATGGGGTTGGCATGGATGCAATGGTTGGCGGATGTGCACATAGCACGGACGTTACGGTTCGTTTGGCCATTGATGGATACAGGGGCAGCGGACAGATGAGGCACGGAGGTTCTCGCGGTTCGAGCAGACGTACAATGACCGCTCATGCCCTGTTGGTACGAACGTGATCATGGCTTGGGCCTGTACGCAAGGACAGCGATGATTGAGTGGTCATGCATTGCAGAATGAGCGGACGCATTGGTCCATTGGTAGCGTTGACATTATCAGGGTCTGAGCACGGACAAGCCAATGTGCTGGCAGCATACTCACCGACACACTCTACAATGATGAACTCCCAAAATGCGCACGGCGAGTTCAGACAAACTCAGGTACGTGCGGGGAACAAATCCACGAAAATCAGCCCACCCGCAACAACAAACAACCGAAGCAGCAGCAGCAGCAGCAGCAGCAGCAGCAGCAGCAGCAGGAGGCAGCCAGCAGCCACAACCACAGCAACAACCGCAGAAACCAAAACGAAGAAATGCAGCGATACCTCGAGTAGCATGTAAAATTGGGAGGAGACTGGTCTTGTGAAATGATTGACTTGCTCGATTGTGCGGCTGCCGCAGGCTGCCTCGCTGCTCCCTCTGCACATCCACTGAGGGACATGAGGAGCAGGCCAAGGAAAACAACCGTCCCGGAAGCCTCCCAGCCCGTTTGCTGTGCCCACTTCGTGAAAAGCAAAGTTTGCTCGGATTAAGCTCCTGCCTCGGTCCTGTAGATCAGCTGATCTGACCTCATGCCCCCCGCTTTCACATCTTCCACTTCAAGTACGGCTGCTTGATGAAATGTGTCTGAGAGCTCAGCCAGCACTGATCTTCAGCCGTCCGGCACTGGCAAACGCCAAGATCACCTAGACCTGTCATGCACTGGGCCTTGAATTTGCTCGAAATGTCTCGAAATGACGTAGCAACATGCCGGGAGAACCCACCAGGTCAAGCTTCCCGCATGTCCACGGAAGCCACCTCTCCTTCGGTACATGAAAGGACCATTGCAGGACTCTTAAGGCAACAAGGCAAGGCGAGGCGAACGAGTCTGATGCTGAGCGGCGGGCTGCTGTTTCAGAAAGAAGGAAGGCCAACGCTGCAGTGAAAACCTGCAAAGGCAACCAATTAGTTTCCCATGGGCTGCTTCTACTGTCTCACATGGCCTGCAGCCAAATCAACACAAATCTGGATGCTTTGACAGAGTTGACCTCAATTGATCACCCACGCACATGCAAATTGAAAATTCAAGACGCCAGTCGATCAGGCCCAAGCGGTGCCACTGCCCGCCAACTTGCCTGCAACTGGCAAGTAGCAACGCATCAAACATATGGTGCAGGCGTAAGCATCGAACAACAGCCGGTAGCCAGACAGCTGCCAAAGCAGCCACCAAGACAGGTGCCAGCCTCTGCAACTCCGGCTCTTAACGCAGGACTTGCAGGTGGGACTTGAGGCGACAGGCACTTGAAAGCGGGGCAGTGATCAAGCCGCCCATTGCCTGCAAATCCCAAGCTCAAAAGGCCTCAGGCGCTGATTCGGCAATGTGTGCTCAAAGCGCCCGGCGGCTTGGTCGTGAAGCGACAGAGTATACAAGGGACACTGCTGAGCCAGAATTGCGCGCGAACACAGAGTCCGCAGAATGTGCGCATAAGCAGCCCACAGTCTGCCAAGGTTACATGGTAAGGTGCCGGCAGCTAGCTATCATCCAAACCTGCCACATTAATACTGCGGCATACAGCATCAAAAGCCATCGGACATGGTGGTCACCGTGCCTGATGATAGCAAGGAAAGTGGCAACTCAAGCTACAATGGCTGCCACCACTCTGCTCCAGATGGAGCTTGAACCAAAGGACGCGTATGAACTTGAAGAAGCAGTAGGTGCACAAGGACCAATTGTCAACGTCTTGTAGTTGCTACAGTGCAAGATGGTCCTCCTGACCCTTCAGGAGCTGAACGCACTGATGCTCACAAGTCAGCCCTGCCATTTGCCTGAGAAGGCTGCTGCGGCATGGTTCGGACCAGACTCATTGCTCAACATTGCTCAACGAGAATCTGAGGAAATGCACAGGACGCGCATCCCCAACATGCTGGAGCCAGTCCAGGACCTGACACGGATCTCACGCTCTGTAAAAATCTGTAATGTGTAGCATCGACATTTCCTATCGGTGAGCCTCGTCTGCAATGTCAGCTACTGCAAATTCGTGCTGAGCCCATGCACGATTTAATAGCTCCTGTCATGCTGAGTCACGCACCATGCATGTACACCTGTGTGTGAGAGACAGGCACCCAACTTGCTGCCTACCTCAACGGATCGCCGTCCATGATTCGCAGATACTGGACTTCGCATATCCTGCAAAGGGAGGAGGCTTAATCGTCCTGTGTGCCCCGCTGGAGGTATGTGCAGCGAGCAGCTCCATGCTGCAGTGGAGGAACTGCTCGACATTCAACTGGCAACTTGAATCTATACGGGGGCTAAATGCGGTCATTCTGTGTCCTTGTTTGCTTGTTGCCAATTCTGACAATGTGGCGTGATCAAGCTAAGAACAAGGCAGGATCGATTTGCAGCAGCTGTCCGAAAGCCACGCAAGGGACAACAACAAACGCAACAAAATGCTTTGTGCCTCGGGCCAATGTCCTCTCTCCTATCCAGCCACCTCATGATTCTCTAAATTTTGTCTTCTCCATTTTGCCACATACGAGTACCAACTGTTTGTTTCATCTTGCTGGGAGAGTTGTTTTACGTATACGGACTTAGACGGCCTGGCAGCAAACCTCAGATTGAACGGCCTAATACGACGTATTCTCGCACAACTATTCCGTGAATCATTATCTGATCCTTGTTTTCAAGCACTGTGCCAGATCAAGAATTGCAGAGTCCTACGGCCGCGACTTTTCACCTACCATTTTGGAGCACGAAGAGACGGTTGCAAAATGTGTAAGGCTGCGGTAAACGCCTTCGCATGTTGTGCTTGACAGCACATACTCTTTGATGATTCTTGGCAGCAAAACTGCAATGAGTTAAATGTTTGCAATCATTTTGGCTGCCGCTGCGTCGACTGTGGAAGCAGGACCAACACGCAAGCAACTTTGCCACCCTTTACATTTGCCCTGAGACCAGACCAGGCGCAGAGGTTTCCTAAATGTCCCGTCTTGCTTGGCCAAGGCTGTCAAGGTCTGCATGCGAAAGCTGCTGCAACACAACTAAGCGTATTAAAGTTTGGTAGCTTCATGCAAACCTATGCATTAATCGTCTTGCACAAGCAAACTTGCTATTCCGGGGCATGAAAATAGAATGCAGCAGGTGCATCAAAGGTTATACTCCACACGTCAAAGCCGCTGGGTCCAGAACATGTACGTGAAAGAAATTTTGAGAAGCGAAGTTGAAAAGCCGCATTCATGACCTGAGTGAGCCCTACACCAACCAACCATACAACAAAGAAACAATGTGCAGAATACGCCAACACAGGGTTGCTTTTTGACTTTTGCAAACCAGCATGGGTGTGGGCGTTCCACTTCTTTCCTTGAAGAATTGGCTGCTTTGCATTTGACTTGAGGCTTCCAAAGGCTGGTTTGGCCCGTCTGTGGAAGTTCTGGACCTTTCAAATGGAAAGGCTAAGTGCACAAGTAAAGAACAAAAGCAGGTGACAAACCTCCCGTGAGCTCCTGAAATATCTTGAATGCTCTCTGCCAAGGGAAACGTCTGGGATCTTCCACGACCTTCCAGCACAGCACGAGTACGCGTAGTACGCGGGACATAGGTTTGAATGTGGTATCGTGTCATGGCCAGCCTCACCAGCCTCTACAAGCCCCAGGTCGGTGAGCGCCTCCAAATGTTCAAGGCTGTCTAGGCTTGGTCAGGAGCTTGCTTCGCACTCTCACTTGCCTCAAGGAACTTTGAGATGGCTGATTCCTGCTAGCTATCAGACAACCTGCTAAACATACTGTGTAAACGCCACTGCAGTCCTGAACATCTAGATGAACACGTTGAAGCGACTTCAAAATGTCTGAAACGATGAGCTTCCGCGGTCCCACCAACCACGCCTGCACTTCGGGTACTCCAAACGTCTTCTGTTATGCACATCTCTGGCGTGCCTTGGCCGTGATGCCAAGAGGCTCCAATGTGTGCAGGAGCTCATGCACTGCAACCTGAAAAAGCTCAATGTAGACAACGGAATGAAAATGAATGAAGCGCAGTTGGGGCAGCAATTTGACAGAAGCGGCCTTTGAGGCGAACGTTACATCGCGCGGCATGTGCACGAGCCCCTGATCCAGGACAGCGCAGTAACAGCGTACAGTAGCGTAGTAGCTTGCAGTGGCCATTGGGTAGCAAGGGCTGGCAGGAAGCTGGAGACAGAGAGGAGAGGAGAAACAGGAAAGCAAGAAGGGATGGGAGAGTGAGCGCCACATAAGCAAAGAGGAGCAAGAGGCGAGTGGGAGAGTGAGCAGCAGAGAGAGAGAGAGAGAGAGAGAGAGAGAGAAGGGACTGCAGCAAGCCAGAGCGAGCGATTAAGCTTAAGCAAAGGCTTGAAGCTTGAGCAAGCAAGCAAGAAGACTTGCAGGGAAGAACAATCAATTTCTGAAGCGGCTTCCATAAGCACAGGCCAGGAAGACGACAGGCGGGAAATCGCTGCGCGGAGGATTTGTAATCTTCGCACTCCTGCACTTCGAGTCTACCCAGTTCTGATGGCACCTCTTCCAGCCGTCAATCCTCACAAAGCTCGTGGGGGACACCACAGACAAGAAGGCAGTAACCTGCAGCAAAATGAATGCATTTGAGTAGCTACAAGTAGATACAAAGATCCGCCCAGCAGAGGCAGTGCCGCTCAACCAACATGTTCTAGTGCTCGTTGCACATCATGGCGCATATTGGGCATCACTGCACTCAAGTGTAAACTGCACCTTGCCGAGCTTCCTCCAGTCTTGGAGGTGATTGTTCAACATAGCTGACCTAATCAAATGACAGCATCCAGCCTGCTGAGTGTTGCATGAAGCCTGAACATTCTCAATGCCTGAGGGCCGCACGCAAAACTTCCTCCAGACGATGCCCCAACAAAGACAAGGCTCAGCAAGATTTGTGTCTCTGCTTGCAGGATCTCTCGCGTGCCATGGATGATCATGGCACTTACCTGCTCGAAGTGGCTGCCATCTGCGCTTGGCCAACAAAAGTTTCCGCTATGCATCGGGTTTGAGTAAGCCACAATCGCAATGCGTCGTGCCAGGGCTGCTTGAAGAAAGGCAACTTCTTCAGGCTTCTGGAACCAATCACCTCCCTCATTGTTGCATCCATGAAACAACAGAAGTGCTATTGTTGCGTCTGCAGGCCAGTTCGTGAAGGCAGTCAACCCGTTTGCGAGGTGGTGTTTCTTCGCTGGTATCGGCCACTCTTCCGCGTTGCAACTCCAAAGAAGCTTGACCATCCAAAGCAGTTGAGGCACGCAATGCCAGCCATGCATTCTCATCACAACAAATCCAGCCAGCCTTACAGCGGCTGTGGCCTTCTCTTGCAGCTTGAACCAAAAGAGCGGCAATCGAGCATGAGAGCAGGCACCGCACAGTTCAGGATGGGAAGAGCTGCACCTCAAGTGCCTCCTTTTCTGCTTCCAACTCCTTTTGACGTCTCTCTGCCTGCAGTCATTTTTGGTCAGCTATGGCAGCATGTGGCGCTGGGCCCCGCCTCTACCCTTCTCCTCTTCACTGCTGCCTCGCCAGCCATGCGACACGGAATTCGAAAAGCCCAGTAGCTGCAAACTTGCAACACACCTCTTCACGAGCCACACCAACTGCTTGCCGAACCCGGACAAGATGCTTCTTCTCAACGCCTTCAAGCTCAGACAAGAATGCTATAAAACCTTCCGCAATGCACCGCAACTTGCTTGGAAGACCTCGCTTGTCCCCACCATAGACGTTGACAAGCCTCAGCAGGGAAAGATTCCGAAGGTGCCAAGGCAGCAAAGCAGCTGGCGGTTCCTCAGAAATTGTTAGCTAGTTGAAGGGCGTGATAGCTTGACTGTAGGTACCTCCTTCATAGTAAGATCCCCTCGAGAACGTGGACTGTCCTACTTTGCGAGGAATTTGCAGCAAAGCGCGCATGGCTCCGTTGAAAGCCGCTCCCTATCCACCCTGCACCCTTTCTTGCTCAAAGAAGTGGGCACGGGGATAAGCAGGGCCTCATGGATTGGTCTCTGTAAGGCTCTTTTTTCCAAAGTGAAGCACTACATCGCGTCAGCAAGAGCTGACTCATACAGCTGCACATGAACCTGCCGATGCCTGGCTGTGTCAGTTTTGTCAAGCTTCATAGACAAGGATGTTTCCGAGTTGGTGTTGACGCTGCAGCGGGCTCTATGGAAGTAACCTCCGCTGCAAGAAGCATTGCTCACGTCATGCCTCTAGTGGGGAAGCGGAGCCCATGGCTCACCGTTGCATATAGACGGCCTGTTGAAAAGCTCGTAAGAAATCGATTGGACAGGTCTAAGTTGCCAAGCTGAGCTGCTCCTGCTGTAGACGGAGAAGATCGAGAGGGTGCAGAAACAGTTGGGCGTAGAGTTCGCGAACACATTCGCAAACGTCTATGGAGTATGCATCTGACAAAAAGCATGCAACATGATCACATAACTTTCTCTCAGGAGAGAGCTTCTCAATGACTTGCGTTGGCACTTCGAACGAATACTCTCCTCGGGCGAACGCAGCAATTTCCTGCACATGGGCCAAGAAATCTGCCAGTTCTCTGCTCAGTTGATTTTCAATCAGCACTGCCTGAGCACTCAGGGCCCCATCATTATCAGCATCATACTTTCGAAACAGCTCCTGCCGGCCAGAGGCTTAGTGGCACAAACAACCGGCACGAAAACTTCATGATAACAAAGTTGCCTCCCTCTTCTCCACGAACTTCATAGCCTGCTAGGCTGGCTATTGCAGAGTTTCGGTGAAGTGCAAATGCACATCGAGGCCTTCTCTTTTCGATGAGCTCCATCAATCTTTGCCTCCGTGCAGAAAGGAAAAAATACAGGCAGCACAGGCTCACGCACAGGGAGGAGCCCAAAGACTTGCTGACCCCACCCTTCGCACCTCGGTGAATAACTCTCTCCGAACACGGAAACACAAAAGGTAATACTACTGTCTGAGACACAACCTGCTCTATGACAAGGAGCTCATCATCATCCCAGTGGATCAAGTGTCAATGAGGCATTCAAACACATGCGTACCAAAAGGTGCGCAACTTCAGCAGCCCATGCGCGAACCACGCCAGGTCACGTTTTTTGGTGCTGTTTGGGCAGTGCAGGCTCTACAGTTTAAGCTCATGTCTTTTGTCTGCACCTGGGAGCATCGATGAAATGATATCATTCCAGACTGCCCGGTCAACCGCTCTATCTTTTCGTTCGCGTTGCATCCAATAATCAAATACACGCATCCCTCAAAACGAATCAATAGTACATTCACAAATGCAAACCGCAGCCACCCCTCTAACCACCTGCCTCCCCAGCACACCTCAAGCTCCCCAAGTTCGGCCCTGAACTTCCCGCTCATCTTCCTGCTGGCATACCCGTTTGCTCAGCAAATAATTCGCATCATTATGGGGCCTTGCATGTGCCCCAACTTCTTGTTGTACACATGCCCAGCAGATGATCATTACAACAACCGCCCACACAACACAACATGGACAAGGGTGCGTACAAGATCTACGAACCGCCTCCAATCCCTTCACACACTGCGCCATACTCACGAAGGCACCATGGATCTTTCGCTGCAACTGCCAGGTGCACAGCTTAAGACAGCTTTCAAAAACCAGCAGAGCAAAGAATGCGAAGAGCAGCACTGAACCTGTACCAACTGCTCCCGCGTCTCTGCAACCACCGATCTGGCCTGTAGGACAAGAGCATGCCGCTGACATGCCACTGACCTCAGATTTTGATCGTGTCCTCTTCCATGGCAAACCTCTTGCTAAGGAGGAAATCAGAGCAGGCTCTGCAGCTGGCCTCAGTCTCACAAACCGTCTCTCTGTACAGGTTGATGCGAATCATCTCTCTGAGTACTTGAAGCATTTATTTCTTCGTTCCAAATGGTTTGCGTAAGCACCTGACTTTTGCTTTGCCTTTCACCTCGTCGAATCCAGTGGTTGACTTGTCAATCTCTGCCAAATCCTTGAACACCGCAGCTGCTCTTAACAGAAGACCTGTGGCAAGAAGACTGCAACTGTGAGCTGTGCTAAGTTGTTGGTGTCCATGACCGGCTGCAACTTCTCCTCGTGACCCACTCGTAAGCGTGTATCACAACACTTTGCACTTCAGATCTCAGGCCTTGAGCTCTGAGATGCTGCCCTGCACATGACTCGAAGCTCGAGCTTTCGCTGATACTTTGCTGAATCGAGTTCGGTTCTGGTACCACACGAGCAGCGCGCAAACCTGGCCTCAGCTGTCGTAACAAGCTGTGACAGATCCTGGCGGATGCAAGATGTTTGGTGGCCGTCTGTTCACAGCTTCATTCTTCAGCACATGTGTGAATCATTTGGCAACCACACCCAACAGAAGCCCTGGCGTCTGACAAGAAGCAAACACTGCTCACATCTTTACGGATTTCTGCTGGAGAGGCGGTGAAACCCTTTGCATTTGCTGGGTAAAAGACGGGCCCATGACGCTCATGAGATTCTTTGAAAATCACGAAGCTTCCTCGAATAATTTGATTAAGCGTGAAGGGCGTCAGTCGTGAGCCGAGCATGGCACAACCTTTCTCTGTGCATGTCAGCTTGCAGGGGGGGTTGCTGGAGCTGCCAGCAGGTTTTTTGAAAGCCGATTTGAGCTTTTGATTGCTGTGTTGTGCCAGTTCTTGTTTTTGCCGTGGTGGCTTCCCACACACGTGAGCCCTGGCCATCTTTGAAAAGGGCTATGCTTCAGTGACAGGCTGAGAGGCAAACGCGGCAGCTTTCGACGGTCACTTGGTGAGTGTCTCTCTTTTCAAGCCTACCTGGGAACTGCTTCCTCCGTATCATGGGCTAGAGCTAACCTGCAAGAATGCCGCCTGGGCCAGCTGGACCACTGCCTGTTCTGTATAGTAACCTGCCGGAAGTTGCCGAAGAGGCTGAGGGAGTGATTGAGGCACAGCGTTTGGAACAGAGTCTGGTCCGTTGCATGGTCGCAGCATTTTGGAAATGGATTGGTGTCATCCTGGTCAACCAGCCTGCCTTCGACCAAGGAAGAAAGCTCAGCAAGATAGCTCCCTTGGGCGCCATTCTGCATTCTGGTTTGACAGATGTGTTTGCCGGGAAAGTTGCCGGCACTTTGCATGGTCGAGTAGGGCCGATGGTCCGGTTCGTTGCATTGAGCAGGGCATTGTGGCTTTTCCCATTTGCGAGAGATGTTTATGACTTTGTGTGATCGCAGGACGAGTGCACGGCTCCCACATTTCTGAGGGGCTTTCTTGTGAGCCTTTCCGTTTGCAACCACATACTGGGCCTCCTGGGAGCTCAGGACGTCGTGAAGAGCTTGCGTGTGGTTGGTGTAGCGCAAAAAGCGTTCTGGCGAAAGAAGAAGAGAATACAGAAACCGCCCATGGTTGAGGATCTTGAGCGTTTTGTGGCTCCTCCAAAGACAAGATGGATTCTTTCTTCTGTGACTTCTGTGTGTTTTCATGCGTGGGCGATACAATGACTGCCTCAACTTGCAAGGACTTGTTGTTGATTCACCTGATGCGGTTGCCTTGCTTTTAGTAGGGTTCGTTGAGGGCTCAAAGACGTGGTCTGAAACAGCTTACGCTGTGGAGCGAAAAACGCAGTTTCTGCCCATGGTAGCACTGCGGCATGGCGTGCCTGGTCTCGATTCGAGCACTGCAAAGCACATGTTCCCGATGGAGTCGGGATTCCCCTTCTCCCTGCGCCCTGGGAAGGAGGGTGGCAGCGAGTGCCTCCCACGGAAGCGCTTGCTGCTGACTGGCAACATCTTGAAGAGCCGTGGCCATGAGCTCTCACGTGTGGGCACACTCTTGCAAGGCTACAGCGCTGCCCTGGTTGAGCAAAACGGGAGTGGATCTGCCGACAAGAAAACTGCTTGGGTGTCACGCACAAGCAGAGGAGCACACGCCTCTGGTCTACGCCCGTGATGCGGTGTCGGCCTGTGCGTGCGCTTGCGTCAGTTCTTGCCCTAACGCTTCCCGCTCAGGCTACTTGCCAAGGAAAGTGAACCCACCGCCAGCAGCGCCCGAAGATGAGGAATGCTCTGGCAGCAAAGATTCAGCTAAGGAAGACGACAACCAGGATGACTTGGACATTGTCCGCTGAGCAGGTTGTTGCCGATGAGTGGAAACTTATGAATGGGCCAGTGGCTGCAAGCGCCGGTAGGAAGCCGGTATACAAGAACAAGCTGCCCAGAACGATTCACCAAGTAAAGGACGCAGCAAAGGGAAAGTTTGGATGCGGAAAAGCCAACTCCGCAAATTATACCAGGTTGGGAGACTCGCCAATGTTTGCGTACCCAACGCGTTGCCGGCTCAAACAATTGGTAGTTCAGTCTGCGCTGCGTGGTCGAGGTTGTTGTCATTCTGACTTGGTACTTGAGTTTTGATTTCTGATCTGAGCGATTCTTTGCATGATGCGGTATCATGTGGTTGGCTGTTTACATTTTGTTTTCGACTTTGCGTGTAGGTTCCTGGTAGTGTCTTCGCCGCCATGTCTGTGACTGACAGCACGCGGAACTTGAGAGCCTGCGCAACCTCACTTGGCCTGGCAGGTGACGCGCTGGACATCATCATGGGCGCGGGTATTGACACGCTTGCCAAATGCGCGTACTGTACAGCAGTTCTTATGTTCCCAGGCCGGCCGATGAAACCCCTTTCGAAGAGGCCATTAAGGATATGTTCCCGAGGGATGCTACTGTAGGAGAGCTCACCGTATCGCGAAGAATATTGCACAAAGCATACAGCATGGCTTCCGCAGAGCTCCGTCAGCCGGTAGAGCGGACTAAACGCGTGCCGGCTTAGAAGCTTGCTCAGCGCTAGAGGGCTGATCGACTGTCCAAGCAGCGAGCACGGCCTGCAGGTTTGAGAATTGAGGGCGCCCTCGAGACTCATTGATTTGATAGTAGCGCGGTATGAAGAGAATCGCGTCTCGCGTGTTGAGCTGTCGCGCTGCATAAGCAAGGAACAAGAGATACAAGAGGTCTTGTCTGCCACTGCCAAGGAAAACCGGCATTTGACCATTGACAGCGCCGATACTGTCAATATCAAAGGCAAGGAAGCACAGCTGAAAGCCGACTTGTCCTCTGACCTGTTGGTGCGCTATGCTTTGACGCGTCGTGGCTTTGCTTGTGAGCAGGCAAACTTTCTGGCGTTTGCTGAGCACGATGCAAGGACTGCACGGTTGATGCGAGCACGCATCGAACCGCCGCCTCCAGGCTATGCGCCAATTTCATAGGCATAGATTGCTGCGCGGCCAGAAAACTCTGGGTGACGTTGGCCGAGCTTACAAGAGCAGGAGTTTAGGTGACTGCAGCAGGGCGCCCCCTGGACAATGTCTGATCACAAGCATGTAATCATCCAAATGTGTTGCAGCAACCACTTACCAAAGGAATGGCCAGGGTGAAGGAATTGAGTCCAAGGGCGCTGACAAGTTCAGGGGTGGCCCGTATGTCCGAGCTAAGGGTGCTGGCAGGGGTAAAGGCTAAAGGTGGTTCGGTTTCTGTCCCCAAGGCATCAGAGTGCGATGTAGGGTGCGCTCCCAATGGTCACGCGTTGCGCTTTGCCCACAACTTGGGCAATTGCAAAGAGAAGGTTGCGCGTCAACGGATATTCTGAAGGATTCCATTTGTGTTGCTTCCCGGGATGCTTTGGAAACCACAGGTTCATTGATTGCCCCTAGCGAGCGGGCAAGGGCGATTCCCAGGAATGACTATTGGCTGAAAGCAGAAGTAGGGGTGCGAATAGTTCCGTAAAGCCTTTCGCGTTTGATTGAGTCACAGAAGAAGCCGTGACAGTGTCATCCTCCTCGCCGAAAATCTACCCTGAAGTTGTTGATTGTGATAAGGCGAGCGTGTAGGCCCTGCCAGTTTTGAGCCGCCTACTTGCGTCCATGCCAATTTTGAGCCGACAATGAGATCGGATGTGGCCAGTGGTGCATCATAAAAACACAGCTCGGTGGTGCTTGGTTGAATGCCGACACGTTGTTGCCAACAAGGAAGTCCTGACAAGTTCCCACCCGCTAGGGAACTATGTATTCACAAAGGTGGCTAGTGGTTGTTGTTTCCAGTAGTTCTGGCAATGAAGTCAAGTTCACATCTTCAGTGTCGGGCTGTGAGAAGTTGCCGAACGATCCAGTCAAGCCTGGTTGTTTCCCATCTCTCGGTCCCCAGTTTGCAAGTTCGGGGTCTGTGCCTTCGAACGGTAAAGTGCGTAAGTGCCTGGTGTAGATCAACCCCCAAGTAGTAAAGCTAAGGGTTTGATAATTGGACTGTGTTCCCGAAGTGTGACGCTGTCGTGCTGCTTTGCAGAAACTTGCTTGTTGCCTGTGGATCATGAGCCGAACAGACACCACACCCTTCCAAAGATATTTAACTTGAGTCTCTCTGAGCCGTCGTTGAGCCGTCCTTAAGGGAATACCTCCGCTGCGTGTATGACAACTTCCCAGTGCAGTTTGTTCACGCAGCGCCGCCGCATGGCACAAGCGTCCGGACGTGTGCCCGTGGCACTTGGCCAAAGCCTGTTCGGAATGAAGCTTGGCCTTGGGTTTGATGAGTTATCCAGCGTTGACAAAGCGTGTGTTGGCAGTGCAACTGCAATCTTCAGAGGCTTGGCCAACCTCATTTCCTTCTCAGACACCAAGGGCATTCTGTGGTCTGTTGAGAACCCCGCGTCTTCTCTTTTGTTCTCTCCAGTTGCCACTTGTTCGCTGCATCTTCCAGAGGTCACATACTTTTTGCTTTCAGCCATGTGCATACCGAGGGCCGAGGCCTGCTTGGCGCATTTTTTGACCAATATTTCGGAGACCATGCACATGACCATTTCTGCAGTCTGCACGGACGCAGCGCAGATGCCAACTATCTGCGTCCTCTGTGCTTGCAAATTAAAGTATCGCCCTCGGCGTCCCAGCGCTGGCAGAGCCAAGTGCAAGCCTGGCCTTTGCACGGGAAGCTGTCGTTGCTGCTTCCTTGCGGGAGCCCTCGCGAAGATTACCGCCCATCATGTCTGAAATTGTGGACATGACATCCTTGGATTTGGAAGAAGTACTGTCAGACGACCTCAAGTATCGCCTGTTGGTTGCGTGTCGTCCTTTTTCAAAGTGGGGAGTGTTCACGACAGCCGCTACAGATGCTTCTTTGGCTGTTATCGAAGCAGGAAAACATTTTTTGTGAAGCCACGTGTACTGCACCGTACAACAAGTTTCTGCCTTTGCCAGATGAAGCGACGAGGACCCTGTTTGACACCTTGTGTAAAGGTCCAGCTTGGGTCGCAGCCAGGTGCGCGGAGACCTTGAAGACGTGAACGCAATGGGCTGAAGAACTGCTGCCCAAAGAACTAGCAATGCCTGCCAATCTTCAGCCAGTGGTTGGCGAAGTTTTGAAACCAAAGCGCGTGCTATTACTTCAAAGGATTGCTGAAGATATCAAATGGCCCGACGTTGAACTCTTCAATCAACTTAGGGAGGTTTTTGATCTGGTTGGGAACCAAGGGCCTTCAGTTGTTTTCGCTGCAGACTTGCGGCCTGCTCGATGCACGATTTCGCAGTTAGGTGATATGGCTAAGTTCATGAAGTCCGCGCTATTGGGGAAAGTCCGCTCTGCGGAACTAAGTGATGATGCTCACTTGTTGTTGGACCATGCAGGTCTCTCTGACAGTACAAGAGATTGAGCGGCAATACGCTGATGAGTGGATCCCAGTTCGTCGCTTTGGATCATGTCAAACATCCGCAGGCAAGCAAAAAGCTACTAGTACGACCCATGGATGACTCTTTGGGGAATAAAGTTATGGTTAACCAGGCTTTCGGCTATTCAAATCAGATTGCTTCAAGGGCTCTTGATCAGCAGGTGTGGACAGTGCGATTGTGGATGCAACAAATCCTCGCCGATGGCAAGGTGGCCATCGAATTGTCAGATGGCTCGGTGTGGCAAGGGACCCTCCATCAGCGTTGGAGAACGGGCGCAAGGATGCTTCTTGACTTTGCCACTCTTGATTAGCGCGCAGCACACAAGCAATTCCCATTGTCACAATCAGTCGAGGCTCGACAGTCTTGGTGCTCAAGAACCCGGCAACAAATGCAGTCGCGTGCTTGGAAGCCAAAGCGTTGCCCTTCGAGGGCACTGCCAGTGTTGTGCACTTCAACCTTGCTGTTGTGGACCATTGGCCAGAACTTGCTACCCAGGAACGACCCCCAAGGCGCTGGGACCGTTAACGAAGCAGACACTTAAGGCGCTAGCTGATCTCCTAGGATGTGATTGCACATGGGAGAAAATGAATTCTCCCCTTGTGCCACAATGCTTTGCTTTGAAGTTGATCTCAGAGAGGTTGGGTCATCTCTCGTCAAGATCCGCAACGAGGAAAGAAGGGCTATCAAGGTTGCTGCCACTATAACTGACATTCTGCGTAAAGGCAGCATTCCTGCTCGCGAGCTGCTCAGTGTGATGGGCCGAGTCCAATTCGCTGGCTGAGATACGCAAGTAGTCAACGAACCACGTGGACAGGGTGTCTATCGGGCAAGCGCTCTGCGAAGCCTTTGGGGTGCTTTCTGACAGGCGTGCTTGTGGGATCCCGCGCATTGTTCCATGCCAATGGCCGAAGCAACCCATTCTAGTCTTCGCTGATGGAACCTGTGAAGGATCTTTGCACACCCCAGGAGGCATCATGGTTAGTCCAGGGGGCAGCGCGCGTTTCTTTTCGTGCCATGTTGCGCTTTAACTTGTCAAGGCTTGGGACCCTGATAGGCGCGGTCGAAACCTATGCAGCGCTTGTCGCTAGAGCTGTCTGGCACCAGCTCTTGACCGGTCAAACCTACCTGCAACTCATTGATAATGTATGCAGCGAGGATTGCTGCGTCAGGGATACCTCTGAAAGCGACATCATCCGTGGATTCTTGGTTGCGTCTGAAATGGAATTCAATGGCACCTCTTGGTCCTCGAGCCATCCAAGGACGTTTTTGATGACATTGTCAAGGAGCTTGCAGCAAAGCGGGACGCATGCTTGTGTCCGGTGTCAGGCATCACGCTCCGTGACATTCTGTCACAAGTTCCAGAAGGTGGCGCGCGAGGTGTAATCAAAGTCGGGGGGCATGGCACATCGTTGCGGCCTCGGGAAAAAAGAGTGTGTCGCAGTGCTTTTTCCTTGAGGGTTTTGCTAAGTGGTCAGAAGATTCTTTGGAAATCGCGAAGCTTCCTAAAATATTTTGACTAAGCGTGAGAGGCGTCAGTCGTGAGCCGAGCCTGGTGCAACCTTTCTCTGTGCTTGTCAGCTCGACAGGGAGGGTGGCGGGAGCTGCTGAGCAGCAGCAGGTTCTTTGTGAGCCCGCCCAGCTAGTACAAACACGCTGGCCCAAGAGCCATGGCAGATGCCTAACCCTGCCGTTGAGCACGGCACCTCGTTGCACCCCCACGAAATCAGAGTGCGTCGCAGTGCTTTGCCTTGAGGGTTTTGCTAAGCGGTAAAAATTGCTGCCGTGCGCACACCGTGGGAAATTCTTGAGCTCAAGGGCTTTGACAAAGCTGGCGGTTGGTGCTAGATCTTTCATGGGGGAGCCATCCTGCTGACTGCTGAAATGTCGCAGCCTGGGCCGTCAAACTTGCGTGAAAATCAAAGGGATCTACACAAACGTGCACAGGACCGTGAGCATAGAAGTTTTTGCATTCGAAGTCAACAACTCTGTCAGCTTCACTTCCTACTAGTACTTCTTGTTCATGTAGCAAAACGAGCCCTTTCAGCATCCCATCCTGCAGAAGCTGGGCTGTAACAGCTTCCCTCTCTTTCATTCGCTTTTCCTGCAACTTATCCAGCGGCATGCCACGTTGGGTCTTCTGGATCAAAGCTTGGTTAGCAAAGCTATGCACAAATTCAAGAGGAGCCTCCTCCTCGCGCTGCTGCCGATACATCTCCTTGCGCTCAGCTGCCATCTGCGTGGCCTGGGGAACAAATTCAATCCCAAAGTCTGAAAGGCATGTGCTCGCGAAATACGTGTCATGATATCCTGTGTCATGATGCCAAGGACAGGCCTGAAAGACTTCTTGTTGCAGCCGTTGCCACATGCCGCCACATTCGTTGCCCATCTTATTCAGCACCTCGCCAGGATTTGAAGGCAGGCATGCCCAGAGAGAAAGTTGGTCTTGAAATGGTCGAGGTGCCGACATCTTGCATCTCTGCACAGGCTTGATCCAAGGCTTCGGGACCCGTTGTGCGCACTCTGTGGATAGCCTTCATCGCATGAGCAAGCTCACGAGCTTCATGTCAAGCCCGTTCCACGTACCTGCCTGGCGTACGATCTGGACAGCGTTCTGCTCCTGCCCGTCAATTGGTGAGCCTAATTCCGAACACCCATGGGCGAAATTATCCATGCTCTACCGAAAGAATTTCTGGTCTCACAACTGGAAGACCCTCTATTCGACACAGTCCTCCTGCTGCCTGCGCTGTGCATCTTGCCTGCACTATGCAAGATGTGCCGTGGGCAACAGAAACGACCTTCTGGAACTGCTGATGTGTAATTGCATTCAGGAGTCCAGTCATTCTGCCCCAGATTTTGCTGGTATCCAGCCTGGATGCGATCGCACAACAAGGTCTTCAGACAGAGCATATTCACCTTCCATGCCAACTGTTCCTGGCCTGGTGGGGATAGGCTTGCTGAACCGCTTGCTGCTGGTACCTGAACAGTGCAACAACACCAGGACAGCAAGTACAACATGCTCACTCTGTACGAGAGACGCGCTCAGGCTCAGACTGCTGATTCTGCTGTGCTAGCCTATGCTGTCTGCGGCAACAGATGCACCATACCATATGGAACAGCTGGTTGTAACTGCATTCGAGCGGCTGCTGATAAGCCTGCTGTTCCTGCGCAACAGCCAAGACTTGCAGGACAGACCCGGCACTACAGCCAAAATTTCAGAAAGGTGGATACGGTACTGCATCCTCTCACAGTATGTAGATCACAGATGCAAGACACTGGAAGACAAAGCTAAAGGGTGGCACAGATCTTTTCCTTTCCCATTGCTTCTTACCAAATGTCATCAACTTTGACCTTAGCCTTCCTCATGCCTGTGGAACGACTCTTCTTTGGCGAAGTTCCGCTGCAAAGCTTGCAAGGCCGTAGACTGTGAGGTTTGTGGAAAATTCCTACATCTTGCGAACACTGAGCAAAAACAACCATATGGTTATCGCAGGAATCTTGGCTCCGAGTACTGCTGAGCCTATGTGAGTCAGTGGGTCATGCTGTGTTAGTCTGAGTTCATTGCTCATTGCCCTCATACTCATTGTGCCCCATTTCAAGACTGTTTTGCCTGTGTGACAAGCAGCAAATGCCTGGCAAATGCCTGGCAAATGCCTGGCATATGCTGCTTGTCACACCTGGCAAGTAGTCAGCAAAAGTTTCTGGAGATCACCCACATGCTGCAGCACGAACTCAGTAGCGCATTCTCTGAATTGTTCCTGGCCTGGTGGGGATAGGCTTGCTGAACCGCTTGCTGCTGGTACCTGAACAGTGCAACAACACCAGGACAGCAAGTACAACACGCTCACTCTGTACAAGAGACGCGCTCAGGCTCAGACTGCTGATTCTGCTGTGCTAGCCTATGCTGACTGCAGCAACAGATGCACGGAGGTGTCGGACAGGCCAGTGCATGGGTACCCTCGCTAATATCTTATTTCGCGGACTAGTCAGGCCAGGCTATTGTTTGTGGCGGCCTTTTTAATGTCAAGTTTCTGGGGCCAAGGGAGTAGTTGTGCGTTCTAGTTCATATAAATCGGTACTTTGTTGCTGAAGGATTCTCAGGCTCAAAAGCTCTTACAAATCCCCCATCAAAACAGGAGAATCGAAGACCTTCAACTCACAGCAATTACCCAGCTTGCCTCAATCATCTTCTCTAAGACCAAGTCCATTGAGATCTGACAGCCTCTTGAATAGAACTGTTTGGGTACCTGCTTCAATGTCCAGAACTTCCGTGTCATTAGCAGGCTCCTCCGCTGCACCTCACACCGAGCACCCGTTGCCCTTCCTCCTGTCCCCAGCACACCCTCCACAACAACCCCTCACTTCCCGCCTTCCCCACACCCAATGCACCCCTGTCAAGAAACCCCTCAACACTACAATATTTTTTCTAGAAACCCCCTTATGTATCTGTCTACAATCTAAAGGGACCCCTAACCCTAATTGTCATAGATATTTTTGCCCATGCCCCCTCTGCACTGCAGTCCTCTAAAGGAATTCCTGAACCCTAAATATTCCTGGTCTATGCCTCAGATGCACCACTGTAAAAGGACTCGGAAATCCTAAATATCACTGGCTCTTAAGGGACCCCTAAAACCTGAATATCCCTGGCCCACATCCCCTAAGCATCGAAGGCACCCCCAAACACTACATGTCACTTGCCTATACCTCCCTAGGCACCCTGGTAAGGCACCCCTAAACCTACATATCCCTTGTCCACACCCTGCATGTGCCCCTTTAGACGGGCCCTGACCCTAAACTTGCCTTGCCCTCTGCATGAGCCACCCCTCCACTGAGATTAGGAACCCTCTTTGGTGGAATTGCTTGGTTCCCCTCTTTAATGTCGGGGCTGATTCTCTAGTACAGTAGCAAGTCTCAATACCTTACTTTGGCAAACTCTTACTCTTTCCTTACGACGAATAACAATTATGCTAGTGCAAATACCAACATTACCATCTCAGACTATTGTCATTCCTCAAGGAATCAGCTGCGCGCGATTGCATTCGAGCGGCTGTTGGTAAGCCTGCTGCTCCTGCGCAGGAAGAGAAAATCGGGAGAGTCTGAGTAAGAGCTGCGACTCTGGAGATTCCTGAGAGCCGACGGCTTGGACATTGAAGGTCGGATCAATTGGACCGTCATACGGCACCTGCAGCACAGTGTGTTGCTGAAATACTGACAGCATTGGAGAGTCAGAGGGCCCAGCTCTCCACTGAGAAGACGGTGGAACCACTGACTTGTCAGGGCTGTAGGCCCACACCTCCATAAACCCCACAATTCAAGAAATCGACGCTAAGGCAGTAAAAGGCGATGAAAAATGCGCTGATGTGACTCCATGCTTTTCGCCTGATCCCCTCCAACTGCAGGACCAAACCACCTCACTTCTTGTTCTGTGCTGGGAGTCAGATGCGATTTGAGTTGAGCTAGCCTTTTGTCTTCCTCAGACTCAGTTTCCAAAGAGTTTCTCAGGCATGGACCAGCCGCTGAAGCTAGCACCATCTCGGTCATCCCAGAAGTAAATCAGGACGTCCATGTTGTTGGACTACAAAACCGCGAAACTTTGGACGAATTCAAAGGAACAGGCAGGGCAGAAGGCCAACAGGAGCTGCTTGCAGAATGTGGTTGCATGCCTGCTCGGACCGGCGGAAGACTGGGCGTCCATGATTCTCAGACGCCGGAAGGTACCTGGCCGCGTTGTAACCACCGCACCTGTGGAAGACATCTACACAAATCTGACAGGTCACTCTCCACGAACGATGCCCGCGACTGTCTCATTCTGGCAGCCTTACAAATCAGCACAATGCTGTAGTTGCCAGTGTGCTTACACAGCTGCCCTGAATGCAGAAATAAGTTGAAATGAACGCGGTCTTTGTGATGAACCGATTCCCTTGACGCAACTTGATTCTGAAAAGGGTGCGCATATTTGAGCCTTGTGGCCTGCTCCCCTCACAGAGGAGGAAGCTGAAAACCGTATAAGCAAGCGGCCCTTATCGGTAGCTTCACAGACATGTAAGGCCTTGTGGAAACTTGCGGACTGACATTTCAATCCTTCAAGCATTTTCAACTGCACAGCAAGGGTTGGCACAGGAACTTCTTTCCAAAATGGAAATGACTTTCACCCCGCCTTAAGACACAGAAATCCAGCCAAAGAGTAGTCCCGAATGTGCACAGGTCACGCTAAGGAAAAGAAGGGGTGCTTCCCTCGCCATGAAATGCAGAAAGCAAACAACTGACCAACGCAGGCTCAACATTGCCATCACTGTTGATGTTCGTGAATCAGTATGAACATTGAGGAATCTGCAATGACTCGCAGATTCTCAGCCAACTACACCCGCTTGCACTTGGATATGTGATGCCTGACTCGTTCAGATGCAGAAGCTTTTCACGACAAGAAGGCAAAACGTCTCGACATGCTGGTGGAGTGGTGCGTTGCTGATATGATGTTTCTATCTCCTTCCGCAAAGAGACAAGGGGTGCTTCTGGTGCTGATGCTGCGCCGATGCTTGCAAATGCTCGAAAGTTGTTCAGCAGCTGTATCTGATCGAGCATTGATCGCAGGCACTGTTGAGATGTCTTAAAATGTGATGAAGTAAAGAAGCCGCAGCTTCCCAGGCAAACTTTACATTGCTCCTGAAATGCAGACATCCTGAACATCCCTCGGAAGTACGAACTGCTGCTGAAAAACATTTTGTGAGCCACACACAGCTTGCATGAAGGTTCGACTCCCTCCACCATAGTAACAAAGCGTGTGACACTGATGGCGAGAAGAATGTTGGTTGTGCAGCTGACTGGCAATAGCAGCAGACTGGCCTGAAACGATGAGTTTGGCGGCCGACTGGGCCAGTTGGGTCTGCCTATGCTAGCACGTGCCGCATTGTTGAACGCACTGTGCACTTGCATGCACTTTCGGCATAACAAGCGTGAATGTGAAGGAGATGATGTAAGCTGTGACGTAGCACCAAGGCCACAGCTGGTCTGCATTCGCCTTTCAAACACGTAGCGTATTTTCGCATTTTTCTGCATTTACAACAGCAACAGCTGCAAAAAAGGTAAGCAAATCATTTGACGCCTGCGACTGCATCTGAGCAGCATAGCCTGCAGACAGGATTAGCGCAGAGGAGCAGCATAGCTGCTTGTCGTGCAGAGCTAAACTGCAAGCTGCAACATATTTGCACCCCGTCTTTTTTGCGGCTCCAATCTCTCCAGGAGCTCCGCAGCATCACTTTTCGGCACCTGTTCAGTAAGGCAACAACGGATCAAAAACTAATCTAGGTAGTTTTATTGTTTTTGTCTATGTATTTTTTTGTTTTTGGTGTTTTCTTTGTCCCAGGAAAACTGCAAATTATAGCATTTGGAGCTCTTGAAAGGCTGCCAATACTGCAATTTACAACAGTAGTGGCTCTTGAAAGGCAACGCAAACTGCAAATTCCAGCATTTGGAGCTCTTGGAAACCTGCCAATACTGCAAATTACAACATTTGCGGCTCTGGTAAAATTGTGAACATCGCAAGTTGCAGCATTTGGAGCTCTTGGAAGACTGCCAATACTGCAAATTACAACATTTGCTGCACTTGAAAGGTTACGAATACTGCAAATTGCACTCTTTAGGCTTAAGGATTTAAGATTTTGTTGTTGTTGTTGTTGTTTTCAGACCTTTTTCCAACTTGCTGTGCAATCGGAAAGCCAGCTGGCCAGGCCAGTTACAGCTCCAGGAAAAGCCCTGTTGCGCAGCCCATACAGACCTGATTTTCGAGGTTTGGGGTTTTTAGGTTTAGGGTTCTTGGGAGTTAGGGGATTTAGGGTTTGGGTTGGGGTTTAAGGCTTTTGGGCTTTTACGGGGTTTAGGGTTTTGGGGCTTTTAAGGGTTTTTTTAAGATCCCTCGCACCTTTTCTGATGCAAGCCTTAGCTAGGGAAGTCCGTGCACCACCTTTTAGTCCAAAGCCAATGCTCTCAGTACATGAAGCACGGCAAGGATTGTTCACGCATCATCAGTGTTGCCTCACTCACTGGTTCAGTCCCGCCCACAACTGCCAGCCCATTCACATGACCTTCCAATTGTTCTTGCAACGCAACAGCACCGGACGACAACAACTCACCACCAAATTAGGAATCGCTCGGAGCTTGTGCAGCAGGGGAGGCACCATCAAGTTCACCAGCAACATTGCCACCAGCACACGGAAGGACATTACTTTCACCCGGGACAGACATATGGCTCGGATTTACGCATGCGCCATCTTCTGGGAGCTCACTGGGCCCTGGGGCTCTTCAGATCTTAAGCTGTGTCTGTGTGTGTGTGTTTTTTCTTTTTTTTTTTAATGCGCCTTTTCTCCGCCGCACAGGTGCAAGGAGACTGTCCACAGGACTAGGCGGGCTACACCTCCAACCCCTCAGAAGAGCTCCTTGGCCACCCCTTCAACTGTTCTCTTCACTGGAGCACTGACTGGCAACATGACGCTGGTCTTCACACTAGCCGCACTCTGAACTCCTCCAGGGCGGCCATGCCAACTCGTGCACAAACCGCCACATCTGACACGATGCCCTCCTTCCACAACTCGTACAGTTGCTGCGTCACAGGGGAAATCACGGTGATGCTGCCCGCTTCCTTGCGCCGCAGTCTGTCTTGTTGACCCCGAGCCATCTGACATGGTTGCTGCGCTTGCGCTGACACCTTGAGCGGACGAATGCTCAACGCGCACCCTCCACGGTCCCAAAGAATCAGGCGTTGGCACTGTGTGTTCTCCCAACTCTTGCCCTGTTCCATCAGCTACGACCATGCGGATGGAAGAGCAGCCTGACGTTGCCTCTGCCACAGCCTCCAGGGGTCTTTTCCGAGACCCTGCTTCGCTCCACTGTTTGCAGCATGGCATTGTTCAAGGCCTGTTGCAACTCATCCCAAACTGCTTCGCACCAGGCAACATCCACGTCCTCAACGGCCACTTCCGGGGGCTGCGCAAAGGATTGGAGGAGTTGTTCAACTGCTCTCAGGTACGGTTCGAGAACCCTCATCCCACGCCGATAATGGCCAGACGCGCGCAACCTTTGCAGCAGGAGGAATGATCGACACTCCGACGTCTTGGGGGCAGGAGCTCCATCCCCTGTCTTAGCCTCCACATCTGAGTAAAGACAAGCGTAGGCTTGTTCCCTTGCATCATGGATGTCAGGTCACCGTTGCCACCGTCAGGGTTTCCATGCGGCCCTTCATCTTTGTCCCCGTCCTTCTTTTTGTCAGGAAGAGTCCACTGCTCCCTGTTCAATGCTTGTTTCTTCTTGGACTCCACCATTGCATGGTTTACTTCTGCCAGCAGAACAGCGATGAAGCGCGCCCAGCTAGCCATGACCTGGGTCAGCTCATCTGACTGCAACGCCATGGCGCGTTGCTGTACCACTTCCAGCTGCTGCTCCGGCAAGGCTCTCATCTTCGTTTCCCCGTAATCCGCGATTCCGAGCAAATTGCGCCACATGCCCATTGACGGACCAGACGCTGCACCTGCCCTGGTCGCGTCCCCTGCACTCGCTGAGGCTCTCCTTTTTTTAGGCGGGGTACTGCTCTTTTTAGAGTTTGCTGAGGAAGGGCCTTCTTCTCTTTCGCTCGTGCGATGGCTCCACCAGGTGTCATTCCAGGGCCCCCAGTAATCTTCTTCTTCTGCATCATCCACCACTTCGACGGCGTCTTTGTTGTCATCCTCGTCTCTGGAACGCCAAGGCGCCGTCTTGTTAGGAACCCAGCGCCACCATCCTCGGCCGTCTTTCACCTTGCCTTTTCCGTTTCCTTTTCCCTGGCTTTTCTTTGTCGGGGGTGAGCACGATGGTCTCACCCTGCGGACATGAAACCGTCGCCTGGGAGGAGAGTTCCATTCGTCCTCTCGGTACGACCATGAATTCTTAGACCATTTCATCATGAGCGAGGTAACTCCCTCCTCACTGTTTGCCACTTCTTCCAGCAGCTGGTCTTGTAGCTCATCCCGTCGCCCACACGGGTCTGTGGCGTAATCGGGGCGACGGACATGATGTCCCGTTTTGGTGTTGCTCTATCTGCAGGTCTCCGTTCACGCCCGCCGAGCGGCACACCTGGGAGATCTTGTCATCGCAGCAAATCTTGTCCAGATCATCCTTCTTGCGACTTGCGGTCATCCCCTTTGTCTGTCGCTCCTTCCTTGCGGTTCACTCGTTCTTGTCTGGTAGTAGGTCTGGTTGCGCTGCATGTTTATGACCGAGCCACGCAAGATGAGGGGGCTTGGGCCCCTCGGTCGGGCACTGGGCACCATATCAGTTGCTCCCTCTCTTTGGTTTGCTTTTTCCCTTCTTGTAGTAGGTCTTGTTGTTCAGCCTGTCCCTGATCAAGCCCATAGGCCACGCGAGGTGACCTGATCGGGATGCTCGATCCTTCATCTCAGCCACGCAGGAGATGATGTTGCGCTGAGTAGCCAGGCATTGCTTTACTCCCCCTACTTCTTGCGCCGCATCCTCGACAGGGCGGGCGTCCTTACGGTAGGTCTGCTTTCCATTGGGCAGGCACCAAAATGGCGCTGCGCA